TAAAACATTTGTGCACAGTCTGGTACACAGATCCAAGAATCAACAGCAACATGTAGGTATATTAATACAGTACTTTGAGCCAGTTCTTGAGACTGTGTGGTTGACTGACCACTGCTATCCATAAGACAACATGCAAGGAAATAATTTGCAACTTGATTACATAATGGCAATGTACTTGGTGAACCTAGTACTACCAAAATGGCAATCAACCCTAACCTCTCCAACCAGGATAGTCAAGTCTATTGATAATCTCAGTCCAAGTCCCTCCTGTGACCCCCCTCCAACTACTCGACAGCACACCTTTTACACAGGTGGGGAGCTATGTAATGGGGGGGGGGGGGCTCACAAGGGCTTGTAGCTAGACTAGTCTTGCATTGAGCCATTCTCATAAGGGTTGGGTGGGGGGTGGGGGAGGTAAATAAGGCATATGGGTTTGATGTATGATTTAGACTATCCCCTTCCCAAGTCTAGCTACATGCCCTTGTGATCCTAGTAGTGTGATCCCCCTACTTTACACCTCCCTGTGAGAAGTTGTTTAGACGAGCAGTGGGGGGGGGGGGGGTCACAGGGACTTGTAGCTAGACTCCCCCTTCCTCAACTAATCCAGAAATAGATGGAAAACTACTATGACACCATTAATTTTCCAGTCGATTTGAATGCAGTTTGCAATAAGTGAGCAATATCTCTATAATGTTATTCCCTTAAAGGGGAAAACTTCAGTTAATTGCTACACCCGGGTGTCTTATGTAACATGTGAAATGCCTACCAGATAGCAAGCAGCCAATCAGCTGTCAGCAGAGGATGTGGCTTAGCAGTAGTGGGGTCATTTATAAACACAAGCACAAGGCATATTGCTGCTATGTTTACATGTTTTAACCTCTGACCTGAGAGCATTGCAGGCTATTGGTCAATTTGAAATTAAATCCACATCCAACTGCTCATATTTAATGAGACCTTTAAAATATTTATTTTCAAGTTTGCTTGAAATGTACTACATAATACTTGAATATGATTTCATATTTGTATTCATTATGGTTTCATACATGACTGTAGCAAATTTGGGTCTTTGATACTTCCTAGAATTCATGATATTGGCAAAATCAAAATAAATTTACTGGTTTCAGTGATTCAAACATTTTCAACAGACATAATTGACTGTAATTAGCTGTTCCCTCTTCCTTTTATACCCGGTTTTCCCCTTTAAGTATGCTAAACCTTGCTAACTTGATAAGCAGATAAAGCATGGTTATTTACAGATAGAATGAAACAAAACCAAGAGCCAAGAAGGAAGTAAACAAGATATCTCTGTTATCATGTGAGACAAATTTAACTTAAAAAAGTGAATTTTGTGATATCATAATTTGTTATTTTGTACTATTGACTCAATATTAATAAATATCATTTATGACATAAATCATTTAGCATTCAAAAATGTGTATTAATTTGTGATTATGATTATTCAATAGGATAATATGATATTATATATTTCTGGATGTTCAGCTACATTTCTATATTTATGTATTAAGTACATGTATATGGATCATCTACCTGAGCACCCTATACTAGTGTTTCCCACATGGCCACCCCTTATATTTTTCCTACCTAGCCACCCCTTTATATATTTCTTACCCCATTATATATTGGTACTGTGCAGCCCCTTTATAAATTTCCCACTTGGCCACACCTACCCTTGTATAAATTCCCTAAATCACCACCCCTTATACATCTCACATGGACACCTTTTTATGAATTTTCTCATTGAGTATTTGAGAACTTAGTTGGGTTCTATGACAGGATACATAAAACAAGACTTAATTCCAGAGTAACTAATTATAAACTTGCCCTGACTTTATCGTTTATCTTAACCCTTCATTTGATATTTTTCCAAACTTGGATATGAGCCGTTTATCAGATATCTTTTCAGTTCCCTGGGCATTGTGGTTTTCTAATGTATACCAAGTAACCAAGCAGGATGGGAGAGATCCCTAATATGGAACCAGCCCAATATCCTTTATATTGTCTACATATATTAACCACAAAATCCATTAATAGAACCTAGTCAAAGAGGTTGTTTAAAATGCAAAATATTTACTTTTTTTATTAGAATCAAAAGGAACACAAGGCACTGTATTATGTACCTAAAAATCAAAAATGGCAACCTTAAAACTTATCCAGCATGTCCAAAAGCTCTAGTTTTTCATACCAAGAAACATTAATCCATCAAATCAATCCATCTAGTGTTTGTCTGTCTGGAAATACACAGACAAAAGTGAGACATCACACCTGCCGAGCATGCTGGTGATAGTATCTCACTTAATTCTATGTTTTTCAGTAATTTCATTAGAAAAGTAACAATAGGCGAAACGAATAAAAACAACAGTTTGAGTGAAATTATTGAAAATCATCATTTAAATTTGGAAACAATTGCAAAACTCTCCAGAACAGCAAGCGATTTTGGTTAAAAAACAACAGGAAACATTAATTTCACATTGTCTTCTGCAATAAAACCCCTTCCTGTAATTCCTTCTAAAGAAAACCAGATTATAGTAACAAAGGAAGTTCTAGCCACAGGTGTGTCAAAAACATGTATATATGTACTATAGGTCACTGAGACTTTATCAAGGATGTGGTTACAGAGGACTTTCTGAAGAAAATGTCATTGACATATCCTGACACAGTTCTATAACTTCTATTCACATATTCTGCTTCATAAAACTTAAATCTTATTATCAGACATTTTGTGGTGTTCAGCTAAAATTAGAAAGTGGAGTTTCTAATTTCATTTTTATCATATTAAAGTGTATTTCACATATTTCTCATACAGTAAAACCTGTCTAACTAGTGTAATCTGAACCACATAGAACTGGCCAAAAGTGTTTGTATTTAAAAGCAGGTATTCATAGTACTATATATGTATTTAAAAATATTTGGGAGAATAGAAATGAGATGAGATTTAGTGTTCTGATATACAGTAAAACCTGTCTTATCTGAATGCCACTGGGACCAATCCAAAGTGTTCGGCTAAGTAGCTGTTCACATTTCAAGGTTTTCTTAATACGTGAGTCAATGGGAGATAATAACAAAGTTGGACTGAGAAAGAGTGTTCATATTGCGAGGAATTTGGATTAGAAAGGTGTCTGGATATATAGGTTTCACTGTATAGGTTTTACTTTATACTCTTATCTGCTCTATTTCTCTGACATTAAATCTTTTATGGGATGGTTTCTATTTCACAACACACCTCATATCAAACATCCAGTTTTTAACAAATTATGATTCCAGAAAATTATGATTTTGGGTTTAATCAACTGTAAGATTTAAGCCAAACCTTTCAATGGTGGTGTGGTATTCTAAAGTAATGTTTCATTTTACCTGTTAAATGTATTGATTTACGAAGTTATGTATTTGTACTTTAAATGTTGTTTATGAACTCAGCGGAATGTTGATGATTTGTCACATTGACAAATTAGACTAAATGATGTACAGCAAAGTCGAATTGCATCAAAAAATAAATAACCCGAGAAATATTTTTCTGTCTTCTTTATCATATGAGCTTGAGATGCTTCAATGATAAATAAATACCCACATGGGTTTTAGAATTTCAGATGTAAAAACTTGAATTCTCTTTAATGTTATTTGATTTATTGCGTTACTGTTCAAAACAGCTGAGCCTACTTGTACTGTATATTCAGTGTTCTCCCCAGGATTATATCTCAAGTGGATGCAAAATTCAATTTAGACCAAATTTGGTCAAAATATGCCTATTATTCATGATTTTTCTTATTTTCAAGTGGGTGCAAATGGATTATCAGGTGGGTGCATGCTATTTATTCAAATCTCAAGTGGGTGAAGCGCCCACTTGGTTTAATGCTGGGGAGATCACTGATATTATTGGAACAAGGTTAAATACATCAGGGAAATAACATTGAACTTTGAGTAATAGTTCGGCTAATGAATAAATGATTAGTTAACTATCAGCATGATATACACAACATTTCAATGGGGGAATCGTGATCTCCCATTTAATCTGTCAGTATCAAACAGTTTATCATAAACAACAGATGTATGTTTTTCAATAATTTTTGAGCTCTAGCTGCGAAAACAATAATAAAATCTTCATTTTCGAAGGTGTGGCCGATATGCATAAACATATAGATTTTTAGATATTGCGGTTGGTTCAACTTCAACATTATAAAATCTCACATATAATACAATATATAACACTCAATAATTGTTGACACGCAAATACTAACACATTGATAGGCATGTAAAAGCCATCAGCTGTCAACTTAGTCTTACTCTCCCCTTCCTAGAAGATTATCTGAAATGTCTGACTAAAGTTCCTCCTTTTCACTTATTTATGACTTAAAGTATTGTTCTTATCAACAAAAATTAGAACAATTGAGCACAGGTTTAATTCCAACTCTGAGAACAACCAATAAATAAACTCCATTTAACACTTTATTTTATGTATGTATGTAGGCATATCTTTACTACCCTGATAATTTTAGGACATATAAAATGTTTAATAATATCCAACATATTAAACAATAGATTTTATCTCAAGCTAAAACAGTAAACTCTGTCTAAACACCTGGATACAACAAGACATTGAATGTCTAGTATGAAGTAAACCTAAGTGAAGGGCAAGCAACTTGATGCAAGATATGGAAGATGGGAACCATGGGCGTAGCGCCCAGTACGCACAGGCGTACCAGATGGTTGCAAATTCGCCCCAAATACAACCAAATTTCAAAATTTTCTTGGGGGAGAACCCCCAGACCCCCCTGGATGCTCGTTTTTTTATTCACTCAACTCTTGTTCCTGTGGTGGTGGCATACTACTGAGAAAAATAGCGCTACACCCATGGGAACAGCAGCTTTTATCTTTAATATTCAGACATTTTATGAATGCCGATATCTAAAGATTTAACTCAATATTCAACAATATACAAAATGTCAAGAAGAATATTGGCGTAAAATAAAAAATATGGGACTTACTATTGCTCGATTTGAGATCTCTGTGAATGAGTGGCATCGGAGCTTCCTCGTGCAAGTAGTACATCCCTTTAGCTATCTGTATAGCCCAATCAACTAAAATATCAGGCTGAAGGCCTATCTTCCTTTGGGTAAATATTCTATTCAAGGATCCTCCTTTGCAATATTCCAGCACAAGACATAGATTTGGTTGTTTCAAGCAGACACCACATAGGCCGACAATATTTGGGTGATTTAAAAGCCAGAATAATTTTGCCTCCTGACGTACATTTTCCGCTGTTACACTGACTGGTTCATCTGGATCTTGCCGCGCTGCTTTTACAGCAACCTCTCTGTCTCTCCAGTATCCACGATAAACCTTTCCGAAGCCTCCTACCCCTATCACTTCCTCAAGCTCGAGTTCTTGAAAATCTACCTCGAATGGCCGATCTTCATTGCCATGAGGAGAAATTTCATCCAACTGTTTTGACACATAGTTGGCGGGAAAAATTCCAACAAAGCTGTCAACCTTTCCCGTCCACCAACCTTCATCCCCTGAGATTTTTGGATCTTTCGAAATAATTTCAACTTGCGTTCCATGACGCAGGGTAAGCTCATCATCATTAGATGCATCATAATCGAACACAGCCGTCCATAACGAATCTTTGTTGTAATTTATTGTTGGTTGCTTTTCACTCCTCAGAGGTCGACTTGGTAGGATCGTATTAAACGGATCCATAACGGGTGTTATAGGCTGTATACTGGGCATCAGGATATACAGCCATACAGATCACTGAATTAACACCTGATTTTTGCTCCATCAGATTTCAACAAAATTTCATTTCATTCAAATTTTATTTGTAAATTGTACTGCAATATTTTACCTTTAAAACCCTCTTCTTGTCCATACAAATGAGTCTCAGCTGTGATGCAAACATTGCATAATCCATTAACATGCATAATATTGAGATCACTCTGGCATTTCCGTTGCTTTTGCCACTTTAATTGACCTTTGTCCAGCAAAGTGAAAAATTTGTCGCCATCTTTGATGACCTTCACCAAAACAGGGTGCGGTGACGAGATTTCATTGGATCTTGTGATCATGTGACACATTCTATCAAAATGCAACCTACCCACTGATTTTATTTCCCAAAAGAGGATCTAGGAATATTCTTGCAAGAACCCTCTATCCACATGTCTCACTGACAATACACATGAATACTTTTATCCATGCGAAAATATCCATTATTTAAGCGGTGCCATAAAACGAGAATTTACGAGATTTAGATTCAAAATGGTGGCCAAGAAAAAACCAAAATGATGAAGAAATGTGTTTATTTGATGTTTTCTTCCAGTTAAGATATAATACAAGTATTACGATGGGCTCACATATACTAGAGGTGCTGAGGCAAGGATTATGGGCCTCCTTAACTGGTGGATGGTTCTTTGATCCACATCAGAGCCTATTTTGTAACACTTTTCATTTGTACCTTTGGCTCTTCCTGCTATGTCTACCTCTGACCCTATATCTGGTAAGCAATACTTATTTTCAGAGTATTAATAATGTAGATTTTATAAGATAGTTATCATAGTCAATATCCATGATGAAGTAAGTTTTTATCTATAGAGAAAGAATGTCAGATCTGCCATCAAAATGTAACTGACCTTGTCGGTTGATTTAGATCAAGTCAAAGGGATGGGATGGTCAAACAGAGAGCTGTGTATTGAATTGTATCTACCACACAAGCTCTGTCGGTACAATGGTATCTATCTAAAATGGATATTTCAAAATCGGAGAATACAACCACATCTCACGATACAAGATCAACAGTAGCCTTGTCGAAAAACCCAAGGATCTATACATTCTATACCTCTCTACTACAATCATTTAGAGTTTATTTATAAAGGGTCTATAATATGTTGACGTAACCAGATTTTATAGATGGCGAGTTGGTCAGAAAGTCAATTGGTCCTCTTGCCTGGAGATTACAAAATAAGCTATCCAGTTTATACAAGAACCCTCTGTTCACAAATGGCAAATGCAAATGAGATCTACTCGCTAATTTAACTTTTTATCCCCTCTTACTTGAATTTTTACCAATGAAGGGAATATTTGGCGGGAGTCAGTTTTCATGATAGAACAACCCACCCTGTGCTATAAACAAGTGATATGCGATTAGTGTCATCCTGTGCTGTCTTTGGGTTTCAATCATGTCATTTGGATTAAGGTTGATTACTGATAACCTTTGACTGATGGCATGACAAGCTACTTTACCAATGGCTGTAAACTTTAGAATCACATTTGTGTGATTCATACAGAAGACAAGCTATTTGAATACTTTTTGATAATGTTCATTAAAATATTCCCCAATAACTCCAGTAACTCGCATCAAATCGAAACTAATATTCTGATTGGTTGAAAAGTTTTGTCTCATAAGGATACCACTGAAGGTAACTTAATCTAGAGGTGACTTCACTGGTTGTAGATACCTTTAGAAAATAGCTCAATTGATGACTCATCAGATGAGGAACATATAAAATACTTTCCTTTTTTATTAGTGATGATAACTGTTGTCTTTGATGAAACTGATGAGGTCATAATTTTTAAAGTTATCAGTGATTTGAATAACTATTATACATTACCATTCCAGTCCTTTAACTATCATTATTTCATAAGCTCTGTATGCCAAGGATCATTATATAGAAAAGTTTAGTAATTAAATGAAAATACAGTTCTCATATTTAACTACTGTGCTCATATTTAATATTTTTTTTGTGGACAGTGTTTGGCAGTCATTGTTTGTTGTTTGGTGTTTGACATCTGTAATAGATAGCAGGTGGTGAAATTTTGCATGTTTCTGCCTTGTCTGTAAATGTAGTCTCCACATTCCAGAATTTAAGGATCATTTTTGCACAGAATCTTAAGTAACTTCAAAAATTTCTTAACATGTCACAGATCTATTTGGAGCTATATTGTACTATAGTATTTGAGATTGTCAGGAATATTATTGATAGTTAAATTGTATATGTTGCTTGCGAATTTGTTGTTCCCATGATTATATAGATCTGATTCTTCCTTTAAACTTATTTTAGAGTAGATGTATGAACAAAGTGTAGTACAGTTTGAATGTTGGGGTTTAAGCAAGGTCCAATACCCTCGTAATGTCTCCTCTAGTCAGCTGGCCAGTTAGTAGCTTCTAGCTGGCAAAAACTTCTAGCATGTCTTGAATTTTTAAATTCATATTTAAATAAATTGTTTTCCAGTCATTGGCGCCATCTGTGATAATCTGGACAATATACTGTGGATTCATCGGAGTTCTGTTTACGACGGTGAAGATCTTAAACTTCCGCTTGCACCACATGTTTGATACGAGTGAGTGTATTGAAGAAGAAGTTGAGGATGAGGAGGGTTCTGTGGGCAAGAGAGAAAGTGTCAGCACTACTACAGGACCAAAGTCACATACGCAAGGGTAGGTCAATTTTATTGCACTTTGGAAAAGTGGTATATTGTTGATTTGTTTTGCTGAGTGTACGACTGGGCACCCCATGAATCTAAGATGCAAGACCAGACTAATACTTAGACCTGATTAGGTTTTGGGCTTGTTGGATAAATTACATGCCAGCCATTTTGCTCTTCAAAGTGCGATATTTGTCACTCCTGTGATAAACAAGTGTCTTGTTGTAGTCTGTTTTGACCTTCAATTTTCAAAAATGAGCATCATATTTTTCGAGGTAAAGGAAAGAATTTCTGCTTTGATTTGGGAGAAGAAGATTTTCTGAAATACAAATATTAATTTTTTCCTCAATCATATATATTAATTTAGACTGTATAGTTATCTTGAAAATGATTTCAATTTTTAGGGAAACTTCAGAGGGTATTGAGCTGACTGTTCTAAGTTCTTCAACACAGCATGCTAGCAGTATTACACCCCCAGTACTATGTAGCTCTAGGGCCAGTATGGCAGATAGTAGAGGTATGTATTACACCCCAAGTACTATGTAGCTCAAGGGCCAGTATGGCAGATAGCAGAGGTATGTATTACACCCCAAGTACTATGTAGTTCTAGGGCCAGTATGGCAGATAGCAGAGGTATGTATTACACCCCAAGTACTATGTAGTTCTAGGGCCAGTATGGCAGATAGTAGAGGTATGTATTACACCCCCAGTACTATGTAGCTCTAGGGCCAGTATGGCAGATAGTAGAGGTATGTATTACACCCCCAGTACTATATAGCTCTAGGGCCAGTATGGCAGATAGCAGAGGTATGTATTACACCCCCAGTACTATGTAACTCTAGGGCCAGTATGGCAGATAGTAGAGGTATATGTATTACACCCCCAGTACTATGTAGCTCAAGGGCCAGTATGGCAGATAGTAGAGGTATATGTATAACACCCCCAGTACTATGTAGCTCAAGGGCCAGTATGGCAGATAGCAGAGGTATGTATTACACCCCCAGTACTATGTAGCTCAAGGGCCAGTATGGCAGATAGCAGAGGTATGTATTACACCCCCAGTACTATGTAGTTCTAGGGCCAGTATGGCAGATAGTAGAGGTATGTATTACACCCCCAGTACTATGTAGCTCAAGGGCCAGTATGGCAGATAGCAGAGGTATGTATTACACCCCCAGTACTATGTAGTTCTAGGGCCAGTATGGCAGATAGTAGAGGTATGTATTACACCCCCAGTACTATGTAGTTCTAGGGCCAGTATGGCAGATAGTAGAGGTATGTATTACACCCCCAGTACTATGTAGTTCTAGGGCCAGTATGGCAGATAGTAGAGGTATGTATTACACCCCCAGTACTATGTAGTTCTAGGGCCAGTATGGCAGATAGCAGAGGTATGTATTACACCCCCAGTACTATGTAGCTCAAGGGCCAGTATGGCAGATAGTAGAGGTATGTATTACACCCCCAGTGCTATGTAGCTCTAGGGCCAGTATGGCAGATAGTAGAGGTATGTATTACACCCCCAGTGCTATGTAGCTCTAGGGCCAGTATGGCAGATAGTAGAGGTATGTATTACACCCCCAGTACTATGTAGTTCTAGGGCCAGTATGGCAGATAGTAGAGGTATGTATTACACCCCCAGTACTATGTAGCTCAAGGGCCAGTATGACAGATAGTAGAGGTATGTACTAAGTCCCTGATATGAAATATCCAAATAATTTTGAAATGTGTAATCATAACAAAATCAAAAAGATAGAATTCAACCTGAATTTTTGAATAATTAATTAATTAATGTGAAAAAGGAGCATCTCATGGATTAATCATAAAACTAACCCTTCCTTTTAAAAATGCACACAAATATGATATTCACTTTTATAATTGCAGAAAGTGGTAGTATGCGCAGGGGTACACCCGTTGACTCAATGGAGAACATGGAGATATTAGCCAGAGAAGAGTTCAGTACAGCCACTGGCCTAAATAAAAGAGGTATGCTAGATACTTTATTTTATTTTGAAATGGCATATTTTGGTTCTTTAAAGGATTTTTTCAAGCTAACTCAACAAAATAGGGTATGACATAAGTGTCGACCGATATGCCGAGAGCGCACTCATTAGTTTAGCTCAAGGCCAGCTAAGACTTGCATGTATCTTGACCTGATGGATACACTGCTCGTGTAGCTTAATTGGAAATTGATATACTGTACATGTATATAGATACAGGCAAATGACTCTCTGTACTTGTTTGAAGTTTGTTTACAGGTTTTGTTCAATTATTTGGTATTTCTTGTCTACTACCATTCCTTGGTTGTCTGCTTTCTAAAAAAATGTTAAACCTAATTGCCATAGGCAGCCACCAATCAGAGCAGTGTTCCTGTGCTAATGTGTTTAAGATCATTAAGCGCTGCGATTGAATTACCAAAGTGCCAGTAGGTAGTTACCAGTTTCACTGCCAGGTGAGGCAAAAAAATTATCGATCCAAAAATGATATGGATTTTTCCTAATATTAATTTTATTTCATTTAATAGCTTTTCACAATTTTATGTATTTTTTTTAATGTTGCCATTTATGTTTCTTGATGCCTTATTTTTGAAATACATTTCAGATTTGAAAGTTGATGTTCACCACATTGAATCAGAAGATACAAGTAGTTCCACTATTAAGAATGTCCCCGCAACAAAGCAGGAGAATTCAGGTAACAAAGCAAAGCATACCATCTTTTAATTCTAAAGTTGGAATTATTTAAAATTACAGGATTGAATCCTGTGACTTTTGCCTTTGAAGTTAACATAGGGACAATTTTTTATGCAATCTCCTCATACACAAAAACTGGACCAAGTCATCACCAATTTCTCTTTTGTAAGTATTTGATGGTCCTGAAAAGGACCTTTTGTAGCCCTGAAAAGGGCTGTTTTCTTCAAACCATTGGAGCAGCCGCTGTATCAGGGATGTTGAATTTCTGGTTGAAAACATCTGCTTCTTCATTCATCCATATCTTCATCATCTTCATCTTCTTCATCAATGAATGAATATTCAGACTCAGCATCAGAATCTTGGGCTTCCATCTGTTGAACTTTGGTCTTCAATTCTTGGACCACTTCAGCCATCTCTTGAGCGTAGTAGTAGAACATCATCTTCATGTTGCTGAGTGTGGATAGCTGTAGACGTAGAGAGTAGCGATGAGCTTCTCTGTGATTCTCCTTGGCTCGCTTGTAGCGCACCTCTACCGTCTTGGTTCGGTCATCAATCACCAGTAGCTGGTCACAGGCCTTGGTGAACTTTCTGTAGGCAACATCTAGTAGTTCAATGGTTTGCTCCCGATCAGGAGTCTGTTCTCTCTCTGGCACTCCATAAGCCTCAGATTCTTGCATAGAGTAGGAATCCATTGTGAATTGTTGTAATGTTGTGATGTGATTGCTAAGCAAGTCAGATCAGTAATGACTTGGTATGTCAGAGATGGGGTATATATACTTTTTCACAGGAAAAGGAAACCATGTCAGATTATTGTTTATTCATGGATTGCATGCAAACTTCAAAGCCACCAGATATTAAAAACATGAACATCAAACACTGGCTTGTTTTGATAGGGACACTTGACTAACACACTATAAGCCAATCAAGCTAATCTCTATGATTAAAACTTGACTTCAAACACAATGCCAGAGGAAACAAACATATCAAAGCAGTTTATTTATGTTAGCAGCTTTTGTTAAGACATGCATGCAAAAATAACAGGATGTTTTTATAATTACATGTTCATTAAAAATTAGAGGTACTTGTAATTGTCATTTTAAACTAATTAATTTTCAATTTACTAGCTAAAAGGCTACACTAAATCCTAAACACAATGTCACCAATAGCTAAGATTATAGTGTTCATAATTGGTTTCAAATGTTTTATCTTCATGACGTCAATCAAAGAGATTATTGTACTGATAATATGTTTAAACTACAAGGTTATCAAACAACTGTACATAATCAAACCATGGAATTATCAGTCATAATACAAAACTAGAATATTTCATTTCATTTTGAGAACAATATTTTTAATTGTGCAAATTGTTTCTTTTTGCAATTCAAAGAAAGAATTATTTATCATTAACTAATTTAATTTCAAATTTGACAATGTACATCTTTAAAATGTAATGGCTTTTAATTTTACATAATTTATAGATAGTACATGATAGTGTCAGAAGAAATAATGTGATTTCTTGGTAACATGCCAAGTATATGGAATTGTCCCCTCATCTGTCCATCCACCTTACAATAATCTACAGACAAATGAGAATGACCAATTTTCTTAGCCAATGTTCGTGTGTGTATTTGGGTCCATGCTGATAATTTACATCATTTAGGTGCCTGCACCTACTTTTTAAAGAAATCAGCTTCTTAACCATTGCTGAATGGTACTTTTTATTATTTATCTGTTGTTCAGAATTTGGTTTTGGTAATATGTCTTGCTTTTGAAATTATGATTTCAACTTTTTTAAGGATATTGTTTTTATTTCATAATTATCATTTTATTTGTTGGGAGGACCTAGGCTCATAGAACATTATTGCTCCCCAGTTGCTACAATTGCAATAGCACTACAGTGTTTTCATACAATTTTTTTCAAAGGTAAGGTTAATGTTTATTGATTTGAAAATAATAATGTACTGTAGTTGGGAATTTTTTAAAGGTTTATTGTGCTGTTTACATTTCTGTTTACTCATTTATTTTATTTTTTATATAACACATTAGTTTCACACAAAATTGAATAAAGCAAATTCATAATAAAATTCTCTTTTGTAAGTATTTGGTGGTCCTGAAAAGGACCATTTATAGCCCTGAAAAGAGCTGTTTTCTTGGCATGGAGGCGATCAGGGAAGTTGATGTTCCACCAGAAGATATCTGCTTCTTCATTCATCTATATAATCATCTTCTTCTTCATCAATGAATGAATATTCAGACATAGCATCAGCATCAGAATCTTGGACTTCCATTTGTTGAACTTTGGTCTTCAGTTCTTGAACAACTTCAGCCATCTCTTGAGCGTAGTAGTAGAACATCATCTTCATGTTGCTAAGTGTTGATAGCTGTAGACGTAGAGAGTAGCGATGAGCCTCTCTGTGGTTCTCCTTGGCTCGCTTGTAGCGCACCTGTACCATTTTGGTTCGGTCATCAATCACCAGTAGCTGGTCACAGGCCTTGGTGAACTTTCTGTAGGCAACATCTAGTAGTTCAATGGTTTGCTCCAGATCAGGAGTCTGTTCCCTCTCTGGCATTTCATAAGCCTCAGATTCTTGCATAGAGTAGGAATCCATTGTGAATAGTTGTAATGTTGTGATGTGATTGCTAGGCAAGTCAGATCAGTAATGACTTGGTATGTCAGAGATGGATTTATATACTTTTTCACAGGAAAAGGAAACCATGTCAGATTATTGTTTATTCATGTATTGCATGCAAACTTCAAAGCCACCTGGTATTAAAAACAAAAACTTCAAACACTGTCTCCTTGACTTGACTGTCACACTATAAACCAATCAAGCTAATCTCTGTGATTAAAACTTTACTTCAGACATGCATGCAAAATAACAGGATGTTTTTATTATTACATGTTCATTCAAAATTAGAGGTACTTGTATTTGTCATTTTTAAACCAATTAAGTTTCAATTTACTAGCTAAAAAAGCTACACTAAATCCTAAACACAATGTCACCAATAGCTAAGATTATAGTGTCTATAATTGGTTTCAAATGTTTTATCTTCATGTCGTCAATCAAAGAGATTATTGTACTGATAATATGTTTAAACTACAAGGTTATCAAACAACTGTACATAATCAAACCATGGGATTATCAGTCATAATACAAAACTAGAATATTTCATTTCATTTTGAGAACAATATTTTTAATTGTGCAAATTGTTTCTTTTTGCAATTCAAAGAAAGAATTATTTATCATTAACTAATTTAATTTCAAATTTGACAATGTACATCTTTAAAATGTAATGGCTTTTAATTTTACATAATTTATAGATAGTACATGATAGTGTCAGAAGAAATAATGTGATTTCTTGGTAACATGCCAAGTACAGGTATATGGAATTGTCCACTCATCTGTCCATCCACCTTACAATAATCTACAGACAAATGAGAATGACCCATTTTCTTAGCCAGTGTTCGTATGTGTATTTGGGTCCACGATTTACATCATTGGTCCTTGCTCTTGCTCCTACTTTTGCATTGTTTGAAAGAAATCAGCTTTTTAACCATATGAGCCAGCTGAATGGTCTGTTTATTTATCTCTTGTTCAGAATTTGGTATTTTTTTCGGTAATATGTCTACTAATATTACTACTAATATTTCAACTTTTTTAAGGATATTGTTTTTATTACATAATATCATTTATATTTTTGGGGAGGACCTAGGCTCATAGAAGATTATTGCTCCCCAGTTGCTACAATTGCAATATCACTACTGTTTTCATACAATTATTTTCAAAGGTTAGGTTATATATTGATGTTTGATTGTCGTGAAAATAATGTACTGTAGTTCGGAATTTTGAAAGTTTTTTTGTGCTGTTTACATTTCTGTAAGGCATACAAAGACTCATTTATTTATTTTTTCATATAACACTTTAGTTTCACACAAAATTGAACAAAACAAATTCATAATATAATTCTCTTTTGTAAGTATTTGGTGGTCCTGAAAAGGACCGGTTGTAGCCCTGAAAAGGGCTGTTGTAGCCCTGAAAAGGGCTGTTTTCTTGGAATGGAGGCGATCAGGGAAGTTGATGTTTCACCAGAAGATATCTGCTTCTTCATTCATCTATATAATCATCTTCTTCATCAATAAATGAATATTCAGACTCAGCATCAGAATCTTGGACTTCCATTTGTTGAACTTTGGTCTTCAGTTCTTGGACCACTTCAGCCATCTCTTGAGCGTAGTAGTAGAACATCATCTTCATGTTGCTGAGTGTGGATAGCTGTAGACGTAGAGAGTAGCGATGAGCCTCTCTGTGGTTCTCCTTGGCTCGCTTGTAGCGTAGCTCTACCATCTTGGTTCGGTCATCAATCACCAGTAGCTGGTCACAGGCCTTGGTGAACTTTCTGTAGGCAACATCTAGTTGTTCAATGGTTTGCTCAAGATCAGGAGTGTGTTCTTTCTCTGGCACTCCATAAGCCTCAGATTCTTGCATAGAGTAGGAATCCATTGTGAATTTGTTTTAATGTTGTGATGTGATTGCTAGGCAAGTCAGATCAGTAATGACTTGGTATGTCAGAGATGGGGTTTATATACTTTTTCACAGGAAAAGGAAACCATGTCAGATTATTGTTTATTCATGTATTGCATGCAAACTTCAAAGCCACTAGGTATTAAAAACAAAAACTTCAAATACTGTCTCCTTTGACAGGTTGACTTCACTGTCACACTATAAACCAATCAAGCTAATCTCTGTGATTAAAACTTTACTTCAAACATATCAAAGGGTATTGTTGATATCAACAACCCTTTCTATTATATTAAGATAGAACTTTAAAAATAACAGGATGTTTTTTGTTATTTTAGGATTTTGAAATCACAATTTTATTTCAATTAATATTTATAAACTCATTAACTCATATAAAAGTGATAAGTTAAGTCTATATTATCTAAAAAATTTCCGCCAATAGCTTAAACTTATGATACTGTTAATAAATGGTTTCAAATTATTGTCCCATCGAATGAATTAATAAAGCTAGAAATGTAGATATTTAAGAAGCACATGGCAGTCATCTTGAAAAATGGCAGCCTTTACTCTTTATTTTACGATTTTTGCTGTAACTCGAAAAGTAGTGGAGTAATTTTGTTTATATTTGGTATGTGAATACTATAAGCATGGCAGACAGTCTAATGACACTTTTGGTAGAAGGTGGCCATTTTGAAAAATGGCTGCCATTTTTGCTACATACTTTGTTTCTAAAAATGCCAGCCATGGCTGTTCGATGGGATTTGCTACACTTTGGCGTTGCTGTTGTCTAGTTTGTCTTTATGACAACAATCAAAGAGATTAAATTTTTAAATCTATGTGTTTAAAACTTCAATGTTCCCAATCATTAGTACAATAAGCAAACCAGGGGATTTTTCAGTCATAATGTGATATTGAAATATTTCATTTTATTTTTAAAACTATATTTTCACATGTAAATTGTCCTATGGTTATACACCATGGATGATACTTGCAACTAAAGTATGTCACCTATGACAACATACAACCTTGAAATTGATTGTTATGTTATTTACATAATTTTTTGCTCTGTGGTAGATCATGATCATAATGCCAGTAGAAATAATGCGATGTCTGGATCACACAGTGATTCTGAGTCTCACCCATTCATCTATCTGTCATTGGGCTGTCCATCATGAAAAGTGGCATTTGTCAGAAACGATGCTCATATCCATTTTGTTAGGGTACCTGCTGGTAATTTACACCATAGGTCCTGGCTCCTACCTTTCCCTTTTTTTTAGGTTATTGTTTTTTATTTCCATATTATTCAACATAATTATTTACATAGATTGTGAATCGCCGAGGCAATATAGCATTATTGGCCACCTCTAGAAAGAGAAAAACATAAAATATATCACTGGAGTATCTAGGATTGCAACGGAAATCAACTTTTTACCATGTGAGCCCATTGTGTTGTGCCAATTGTATCACACTTTATCAAAATGCTATATTGTTGTTGTCTCGTCATTGCTGGGTGTGAGTGCATCTTGGTACCTCCAATAGTTATGGTTGGTGCAGTACTACAGATTCCATACAATGATTATTTTAGAATAAAAAACTGAATTGAAAATTTGATTTCTTCAAAATACATATCTACGATAATTGGAATTGAAAAAATGAATGAGTTGTCAAATGTTCTGCCTTAGAAGGTTGACAGAGGGAAAGTTATTTATAGCACTCTTTCTTACTTCACACAAGTACGGAACAAAACAAATTCATTGTCAATTTCTCTTTTGTAAGTTTTTGGTGGTCCTGAAAAGGACCGTTTGTAGCGCTGAAAAGTGCTGTTTTCTTTGGGCCATAGTAGCTACTGTATCAAGGAAGTGCTGGTTGACAACATCGGCTTCAATCATCCATATCTTCATCTTCTTCATCTGCAATGAATGAATATTCAGACTCAGCATCAGCATCAGAATCTTGGACTTCCATCTGTTGAACTTTGGTCTTCAGTTCTTGGACCACTTGAGCCATTTCTTGAGCATAGTAATAAAACATCATCTTCATGTTGCTGAGAGTGGATAGCTGTAGACGTAGAGAATAGCGATGAGCCTCTCTGTGGTTTTCCTTGGCTCGCTTGTAGCGCACCTCTACCATCTTGGTCCGGTCATCAATCACCAGTAGCTGGTCACAGGCCTTGGTGAATTTTCTATAGGCTACACCTAGCTGGTCAAGGGTTTGCTCCAAATCAATGGTCTGTTCCCTCTCTGGCACTCCATAAGCCTCAGATTCTTGTATGGAGTAGGAATCCATTGTGAATTGATGTAATGTGATGTGATTGCTAGGCAAATCAGATCAGTAATGACTTAGAATTGTAAGTGCTGGTATTTATATACACTCAATAATCAGTTTGAAACTATAATGTCTGATGGTTTCAGGATTTAAGTATATAAAACACCAAAGACACCTATTATCCCTAGGATTCTGATTAAAACAATCACTTCAAACATTATATACACTCAATAATCAGTTTGAAACCATAATGTCTTGTGGTTTCAGGATTAAAGTATATAAAAACACCAAAGACACCTATTATCCCTAGGATTCTGATTAAAACAATCACTTCAAACATTATATACACTCAATAATCAGTTTGAAACCATAGTGTCTGGTGGTTTCAGGATTAAAGTATATAAAACACCAAAGACACCTATTATCCCTGGGATTAAAACAATCACTTCAAACACTATATACACTCAATAATCAGTTTGAAACTATAGTGTCTGATGGTTTCAGGATTAAAGTATATAAAAACACCAAAGACACCTGTTATCCCCCTATGATTAAAACAATCACTTCAAACACCATATACACTCAGTAATCAGTTTGAAACTATAGTGTCTGATGGTTTCAGGATTAAAGTATATAAAAACACCAAAGACACCTATTATCCCTAGGATTAAAACAATCACTTCAAACACCATATACACTCAGTAATCAGTTTGAAACTATAGTGTCTGATGGTTTCAGGATTAACGTATATAAAAACACCAAAGACACCTATTATCCCCCTATGATTAAAACAATCACTTCAAACACTATATACACTCAATAATCAGTTTGAAACAGATTTTTTCAGAGAATAATCATGACAGTAAATGAAAAGTAGGAGATATAAGTTAAATGAAGAAAAACAACATTTTGTGTAATTTTACCAAAACTGTATTTTTAAGACAAGATGTAATCATATTTTCTGGCAGATTAACACAAAATCTTGACTACTGTAAATATACGGGTACACATGAATGACTCTATTATCTATTCAACTAGGACAGAAAACCGTTTTATATATATTGCTACAAACAGCAATTTTGGTCTAATTTTATCTGAAAATCTTACGGTAATAATTATGAGGTAAATCAACATAAAGAATTAACAAATACGGCAAAAAGTAAAAATGACATTTATTCAAATTGATAAAAAAAGAATATATTTTACATATTATAAACACATCCTGTTATTTTTGCAGTTGTGTTGTTAAGTATATCTTACCTTTCATATGTTTGTTTCCTCTGGCATTGTGTTTGAAGTCAGGTTTTAATCATAGAGATTAGCTTGATTGGCTTATAGTGTGTAAGTTAGGTGTCCCTGTCAAAACAAGCCAGTGTTTGATGTTCATGTTTTTAATATCAGGTGGCTTTGAAGTTTGCATGCAATCCATGAATAAACAATAATCTGACATGGTTTCCTTTTCCTGTGAAAAAAGTATATAAACTCCATCTCTGACATACCAAGTCATTACTGATCTGACTTGCCTAGCAATCACATCACAACATTACATCAATTCAAAATGGATTCCTACTCTATACAAGAATCTGAGGCTTATGGAGTGCCAGAGAGGGAACAGGACCTAGATCGGGAACAAACAATTGAACAGCTAGATTTTGCCTACAGAAAGTTCACCAAGGCCTGTGACCAGCTACTGGTGATTGATGACCGAACCAAGATGGTAGAGGTGCGCTACAAGCGAGCCAAGGAGAACCACAGAGAGGCTCATCGCTATTCCCTGCGTCTACAGCTATCCACGCTCAGCAACATGAAGATGATGTTCTACTACTACGCTCAAGAGATGGCTGAAGTGGTCCAAGAACTGAAGACCAAAGTTCAACAGATGGAAGTCCAAGATTCTGATGCTGAGTCTGAATATTCATTTATTGATGATGAAGAAGATGATTATATAGATGAATGAAGAAGCAGATATTTTCTGCTGGAACATCAACTTCCCTGATCGCCTCCATGCCAAGAAAACAGCACTTTTCAGGGCTACAAACGGTCCTTTTCAGGACCACCAAATATTAACAAAAGAGAAATTGATTATGAATTTGTCTTTAGTTTGTGTGGAATTGAAAATGTGTTTTAAACAATGAATTTTCTCTGTAGAATTTTATTGTCTCAATTTCTTATACAGCAAAGACCACACATCACACACATCACTGTAATTTATGTCCTTCCTGATATTTTGTGTGTTTTAGAGGCAAATATATTGAAATATTAAATCTTAAAGATTTGATCAAACTACTAGAAAAATATATACCGTATTCTCTCAAATGAGCGTGCAGTACATTTTCCAAATTGTTGTCAATAACGTTTTAGTCGTTATCACTAAGGTTACTACTCTACAGCTCCTGTATTTCTTTCTCTGCATTAAATATCAATTGATATCATGTTGCATACAGCGTTATGTTTTCTTGAGACCATATTTATCTTAAAGCCGCATGTACATTCATGGGAATTGTGAACTCATTATAGAGAATATTGTACTTGATTTTTACTCAAGGATATCTGATCTTCACTCTGCGAATAAGAGATTTTTGAGCAAGCCAATGAAACAAACAAAAGAGAAATTGATTATGAATTTGTCTTTTCTGTTTGTGTGTAATTGAAAGTGTGATTTACGACGTAAACAATGAATTTTCCCTGTAGAATTTCTAGTCTCAATTTCTAATGCAGCATCTCCTATGGCTCCTTATAGGGCTACACATGATCCTTCCAAAGACCACACATCACATACCCTGTAATTTATGTCCTTCCTGATATTTTGTGTGTTTATGTTTCTAGATGGTTGTAGTGGAGATGGTCCCTCAGTTCCAGGGTGTTTAGATGTCATGGTTCATGATGGATGTACACCAAGGATTCTCTCCACAGTAATCACTCCCAATGTCACCCCTGGTATGTATATATAGAAGTTATCCCATGTATGGGTAAAGATATGGGATACATCCCAGGGAAGGATATTCATGATTGGTAAACATCATGGATTTTCTCCACTGTAATCACCCCTATGTCACCCCTAGAATGTATATATAGAGGTTATTCCATGTATGGGTAAAGATATGAGATACATCCCAGGGAAGCACATTCATGATTGGTAAACATCATGGATTTTCTCCACAGTAATCACCCCCAATGTCACCCCTGGTATGTATATATATAGAAGTTATCCCATGTATGGGTAAAGATATGGGATACATCCCAGGGAAGGACATTCGTGATTGGTAAACATCATGGATTTTCTCCACTGTAATCACCCCCTATGTCAACCCTAGAATGTATATATAGAGGTTATTCCATGTATGGGTAAAGATATGAGATATATCCCAGGGAAGAATTTTGATGATTGGTGTACACCCAAGTAAACACCCAAATGCTATAGTATGCTACCATGTATGTTTCAAGCTTTCTTTTTAATGAAAATAGAAGTCAGGGAATGTTTTCATAAAAAATTGAAAAACAAACCTTTCCCATCCTTCTTTCAACTTGCTAGCTTCAGATTGAAAAAAAAAATTACTACATGTAAATGATTTGTAAAACAAATGTGAGGCTTTAGTCGTTTACTATAGCAATCCATTGTCAAAAACTTTGGATAATTTATAAACATATAAAATATTAATAAGGTGATTTTTTTGTTGTTCATTATGCTGTTTCATATACTATAAGTTACCGTATCTGCTTACAGGTGTCAAACGACGTGGCAGTAAATCACAATCCAGTGAACAGTTAGCAGCATCGGCATCAGTGTCACAGCTAGAACCTCATAGTGCAGAGCAGATACATTCACCACAAGGTCATAGAGACTTCACAACCTCTTCATCTCGTCCCTATACATCCCAGCCTATAGCATCTACAAATAACACATCTACAGACTCACAGGGCTTCATTAAGACAATCACTGTAGATATACCAAGTTTGATGGAAATCCGAGCCAGTGCCCCCGAGGTGTCCCCGGGCCACCGGATCAAACCTAGAAAGTTACGCAAAGCTGTGCGACGGACTAAAAGCGCCCTGGATTACTACATAGGGCCTGATAATTATGGTTTAGGGGGTGATATATTTCAGACATGTTCATCTGGGGATTCTCAAAGAATTCGCCATTCTTCTTTAGTAGAGGAGGGAGTGTGTAGTGATACGGAATTATTTACTTCAACGTTCAATCCTGATATAAAATTTGCCCCACCTAGTAAAAATCAGAGCCAATTGCGGCCACAAACTGCTGAAGTCTCGACTCCTATCCCAATCCCGTCCTCAAGTCAGAGAACCTCTACCCCTACTACTGATATAGCAACCAGATCCCCTAGTAGACGTGCTTTGGAAAAAATGTTCCGTAAACGTTCTTACGAGGTTCATGACTCTAGTACTCTTCCTGGGGTGGGACCGAGTGTCCAACATCATCCCCACCCCCAGGATGTAGCCGACACATTTAACACATCACATAGACCATTCAGGGATTTATTAAACAAATCTGATATGAGTGATTCTTCGTTTAATCGGTCTGCTGGTAGTGATTCACTGAGGACTTCTACTCCGTCTAGCTCTATAGCGGGGCCCTCCACCCGTAGTACCACACCTTCCAGTCGTAAATCAAGTCTGACTTCAGACTCCAGTGCCATATCCAGTGATACCAGCTGGAATACAGAGATTCATAAACTTCTCCGCGAGAGAGCAATTCTTAAAGAAGCTGAAAACAATAGCAAAAAGTCAGATTCTAGTCATACATTAACTGAACAGAATTCAAAATCTGTAGATCCATCCTCAAGGACTAAAGCTCCTAATGGAAGGACTAAGACAAAAAACATGGTAGATCCAAATGTAAAAACTATAGACCCCAACATAAATGCTAATACAAATACAAAATCTGCAGTAGAGCCTAGTGTGAAACCCATGCCTGTTGAGCTAAATGGTAATTCAAAGGGCAAAGAAACTGCCCTCGGTAAGCTACGAGGGTTGTTCAATGTTTCCACTGAGGATACACGGTCCATACATTCCCAGCAAAGTAGTGTGGTTGCTCTTGACTGGTTGTTCAGTGAGGATAGTGAATCGGCCACTTCAGGTAAATATGATACAGAGAATAATATATAAGCACAAATGCCAAAGGAAAGGGTGACTAAAAACTTTAAAGAAACCCAACAAGAAAAGCAAACTGTAAGTGTAAATCTGTCATAAGAAAAGTAAACCCTATATATCCCAAAACCATGATCTAACGTGAAAAGAAACAATGTCTAACATCCCCCTCCCCCCTCCAATCGAGAACCAATATCACAATCCAGGACCAGAACACCAAGGGACATTTCATTCATACTGAAGTCATCTGCTTCTAACATTATAAACTATATGTGCAGTGCTCTTACTAGCAATTAGCAATTAAGTGTCATACCCAGCCAGGGCGTGAGCTAAGGGTCGGTCCTCTGGTCATTGTCAGCTTACTTTTGAAACGGACCAGTTGACTTTTCCCTTTTGTGTAGGTAAATAACATGGCAACTGGTCCGTAATGTCATTTTGACTAGCTACTCTCAGTATCTTAGCTCAATCCCTGTACCCAGTACCCACTTGAAATTTTGAAAATAGCCTTGCAACCACCTGAGAAATTTTTATGACTTAGAAAATGCTTAAAATCATTTTGAATAATAAAGACTTGCTTTGGTTACAAGAATGATGAAAATTAGAATTTTTAGACTTACACAAGTACAGTATGATTTAGAAAATTAAAATGTATTTCAATCAAAACATGATTTGAGATGGCTCATTATACTGGAAATGCTCAAGAATAATGTATTTAATCAGATGTTCTGCATGATTGTCTACATTTAAAGCCTGTACAGTAAGCTTGATTTTCCAGGGGAGGTATCTCGTTCCCAGTCATTTGATGACTCATCAAGTACATTGACCAATGAGGATGACAGCGCTTTTGACATGTCAAGTGTTCGCCACCGGCCCCTTTCCCGCCTCTCAACACATAGACACAAACCAAAGGATACCAGTACCCCCTCTAGTACTAGTACTGTACCCAAAGACATCAGTAACACAAGTGGAGTGTCATTCTTAGATGATCTCGAACAATCAGAGCTTCAGAGCTCCTCGAGAGACGCATCAAGCGAAATGTCCAATTTAACAGACGTTAGTGTAGAATCTGATACAAAATCACCAGATCAAACTGCACCCCCACCCCCGCCCCCACCTGATCCTTTTGGGCTATTGAACAGTCCAGATGATGAGGTGTTTCACAGTGCAAACAGTGGGGCCTCGAGTCCAGGTAGTCCAATGAGTCCTGTCAGCCCCCTGTCCAGTAATGACCTATGGTTAGAGACTAAGCTAGATAAAAGTCAAGGTGCTATACCAAAGACTAGACCCCCTGTGGTGGATGTGCCCTCCTCGCCAGGTAAAATAAAACTATGTTATTTAGGCTTTTTCTAAAAAGTTTTGATTTCTCCTTCTAAAAGAAATAAAACCTCATGATTAAAAACATCAAATTCAATAAGACTTGTAGTGAAATACAAGACCAAGAGTGGTTAGTGCTGATGATGTGAATGCAGTTTTTGTGTACTTAGACTAAAAAATAATTCATAGATTGTACAGTAAAACCTGTCTAAGTTGACCTCCTTTGGTATCTCTAAAATGTGTTCCACTTGGGAGGTGTTCTACTTATAGAGGTTCATTTAACATTATGTCAGTGGTCTTGGGACTCTAGCGGGACTCTAGTGTTCCTCTAGCAGAGGTGTTCCAATTTACAGGTTTCACTGTAATTGAAAATGTTGGTCTGTATTGTAGAGGATGACAAGGATTATCTGCCTCCAGATATTGCAGACACTGTAGAATTGAGTAAGAGGCTACTCGAGATACTCAATAAAGAGGACAGGCATGAGTGTGAGGAAGAGCTCATGAAACTCAAGAAAGAAATGGAGAAACGAAGTAAGACTCAAATATTTTCCATGTGGAAATTCGAAGGAATTCTGATTTTTTATTGTCGGTATCTATGATTTTTGTTCATATTTTGTTTTTCTCGTATCCTCATCTCAACTGGTGAATGTACTTCATATTTGAAGAAATATTTTTAAAGGTTTAGGTGTGAGCAGATAATAAATGTGCTTAAAGAAAATAATTCAGGGCTTACATATTCTATTGCAGGAGTATTGGAACCTGCTGGAAGAGGTACAAAAATGCATGGGGTTTACATGTTGTATTGTAGGGGCACTTGTTGCACGTTATTATGCACAGTTTGGTTTAGAATGTTGCATTTATATGGACGTTAGTAGATTTTGTCTCTAGCTGTTTGTTTTTCCTAATTTTCAAGGCACATGTTTTAAAAATACCTCTTTTAAAAATACTAAGCTCTATTTTCATTTTTCACCACTATTCATCTTGGATACAATGAAATTCAAAGCAGATATACTGCTATGAGCAATTCTTATCTATCATCTCTATGATGTCTCCTGATACAATGCAAATCTCTCATACCCCCCTACTTACTCTCTGATATGAAATTCCCATTACTGGAGCACAAATAGTTCAATACTGCTTATAATGAGAAAGCACAAAGGGCAATATTAAATTTTAAAAAAAATGAACTATTGTATGTCTCAGAAACCAGTTTTTAACCAATATGAAATGTTATTATTATGTCACCACCACAAGGGGACAAATGATAACACATTGGTATTGTCTCCAACTTTTTTGTGTTGGCGTTTAGACTTTGGCGTCTGTAACAAATTTTAGATGGTGACATTTTGCATGTAAATTTCCTGCCCCAATTTATCTAACTTTGCATTCTATGTATGTTCTTATGTCACCACCAAAAGTGGTGGCATATTGTTAGAGCTGGCATTTTTGGCTGGCATTCTGTAACATGCATCAGTAAAGGCATCAGTATTTATTTGTATGTGACAAGTGGTTGCAACAGGTGGTGACATCTATCATGTTATCTTGTTTGTGATGTCCTCCTTATGTAATGTCACCTTTATTGTAATGTCATCTTTATTGTCATGTCATCTTTATGTATGTTGTAATGTCATCTTTGTTGTGATATCATCTTTCTGTATGTTGTGCATGATTTGAAATATGTTGTCTTAGAATGGGGAAAGTTACTGCCAATAGATGGCAACATTGAAATGGGTTTCTGTATTCAATAACATATGAAATTTTTTAAGACTCTTTTTATTTGTCCAAATTCACTAAAAACTCTTTGAAATCTATAACTGGTGCAATACCTGTAAATAAAACGGGGTCTGTGTCTAGATATCTAGATGTAACAGGTGATATGTGTATTTGCATGGTCAGTTGATATGATAACTAGTTATATATGAAAGTATAAAATGTAGTCTCAGAAGTACATATTAGTTGTAGTTGTAGCCTTGTATCGTAGTATATGTACATGTATTGTATTTTGCCAGTCATTAGATAATATCCTTAAGACATGTATTTAAGAAAAAAAGACTGAAGAGCAGGGGTAATATTGTTGAATACACTCCGCAGGGGTAGGCACAAACGTTTTCTGTACCCCGAACGACCGAAGGGAGTAAGGGGTTTGAAGGCTTTGTGCCTAGCCCTAAGGGGTGTATTCAACGATATTACACCTGCTCTGAGGTCTATATTACGATTCGAACATGAAAACTCACCAAAATGTTTCGAATATTCATTATGGTCCCCAATAACTACGGTCCGCATATGACGTCACACATTACACATATTACCAGGGGCATTGTTCGCGACTATACCCCGGGTGAAATGTTGACTTTGTTTACAGTTTATAGAAGGCGTGAATACAGTCATGTTCGAATATTCAATATTCTCCAAAAACTCTATTTTTGTTATGATTCTGAATTAAAGAAGGAAATACAGGTAATTGTTTCAAGTACTGGTGTTTTTGCAATTTTTTCAGGCTAAACATTTAGAAAATCATGGAGAGTCCTGAATCACATAAAAATACATAAATGAAATTACTCCATTAAGTTGGTCCTCGTGAGAAAGCATTTTGAACTATTTGTACATTGACACTTAAAGGAATATTCCTTGCCAAACCATCTCTCTCCTCATATGGTAGCTATAACCATATATATGCTTGCCATGTTTAGCAAAACACGCAAAAATGTTTTGATATGGTCAAATTTGATCACTTAGAAATGTGATGCTCAATTCCAGTAAGCTGCCATCTTTTAAAATTTCACACAGGAAGTTATGTCATCGACTCTCAACTTTGCATATAGTATTAGGTGAGGAGCTATTAAGAATTACAAAACCAGCTAAATATTATTTTTCAACTTTGTATCTTATTTAATCCTTCTGAAAATCTCTTCTTTTATTCTAAGTTGACAAGCACTGAAAATATTTTTGCACAGAAAGTAATGATCACTTGTCCAGAAGTGATTTTGTGCTACTTTCCTTAACTGTTATGGGCAAGGTTATAGAAGTTGAGAGTTGATGACATCACTTCCTGCAAGAAATCTTAAAAGATGGCAGCTCACTGGAAATAAGCACTAGATTAATTGACCATATTAAAACATTTTCCCATGTTTTGCTAAATATGGAAACTATATATATGATTATAGCTACCATATCAAGAGAGAAAGGGTCTGGGAAGGAATATTCCTTTAAATATGAGATCTATTTTGCCTACCTTGATATATAATGTACAGTGCATGTAAAAGACTTCACACAGTAATGCAGATGTTATTTTCAGAAGCGCAAGATTCTCGAGCTAGGCGTCGTCATGCCGCAGGGGAACTAATGGGTCCAGAGGCTAGTAGTAGCAGAGAATCATCAACCGCTTCCCAGAGGTCAGAGTCTTCATCGCTACTCCCTACAGCAAGTCCTGTGGTACAGACTGACCCTGAACCTGACGAGAAACGCAGGTACGTCATCTTCACATCAATTATGTAGTGTTCCAAATTAAATTGTGTGTGTATGGGGGTGGGGGGTTAATGAGGACTAGGGGGAAATCTGATAAATTTCCAGTTTTAACATCATTATAAAGAATAAATTGAAATGTTCAAATTAATAACTTGGTTAATGAATAATTTGGGTATTTATGTATAAACACCTTGACACCAAAATATTTACAAATCCTATCCAAATATTTACAAATAGGTCACACTGACCTGTATAATATTCATCAGAGTATTTTTAAAATCCATACAAATTATTCAGATCTGGTCTCAGGAAAACTAAAAATCAGCATTCATATGTTTCTCTTCCATACAGCTTGTACATTTGATTGACAGTTCTATTTTTGCACCTTCCATATTTGGAAGTGAAATTGATGGCCTGTGTTAAAACTCCAAGGTCAACCTGATCTGGTCACCCTCTAAGACCATTTAATAACAGAATTATTACTGAAATTAATGGATTCTATCTTTATTTTTCTCAGTCAAAACATGTTTATAGAAAAATTTACCTTTCAAATCATTCTTAGCTATCTTATATCAGTTAATCTGAGAGGTTTTTGTCATAATTCTTTTTATTTGGAAAGAGGTTTTTACAGTGTTTTATATGACTATTTTGTCAAAGAATTTCTAAAGAAAGAGCATGTTCAGCATTTCATTTGAATTTTTGAATTGTGGAATAAACATTGTTACCAGTATTTAGCAATTGCCGGGCTTCATCTACTAAATGATTTTTGGTCAATAAAGAGTTTTAATTTTAGGATTCTTTATTAAAAACTCTCAAGCTAAAATCATTTATTGATAAACTAACAAAACAACAGACTAAAAAAAACGTGAAAGAATTTTAAAGGCACGTTGTGCTTCAGAGCCAATAAAATGGTTCAAAAATATGGTCTGACCAGAAATGTCCCTTGAAGTAACCAATTGTTTTTGTGTTATATGAAGTAAAGTAAGTCTAAACACACATACACAAAATGTATGTCTTAACTCTTGTGTGAAAAGACAAGTCTCGGATTGGAGAACAGGCTACTGGGCTAATGAAAACAATATAGAAATAACACCCAAATTGATTTATGAATATTCAAAAGAGGACATTTAAATCTACAATATGTAAAAATATCAAAATTGTCCAAAGCAGGCGTAACGTGCAGTAGACTGATGAACTTCATTCTCCAAACGGAGACTTGTCCTTTAGTTTCAGATGTCATCTCCCCATAGTGATTACAAATTGAAGTGTCCTTAAAGCACACTAGATATGCTCATCTTCTCATTGGCATTGAATTCAGTGTGTCAGCAAAACAATGTCTTGTTTCCTGATTACATATAAATGATTTTCAATAATATTTGTAATCATAATCTACAATCTAGACTTAGTTTCCTTTGAATAAAATGGTTTCGGTATGATGGTTTTTGGTACAATGAGTCTCAGTTTAATGCTTTTCGGTACAGTACACGCCATAATGCGGTTATCCGAGTTTTTCCTGGATGCACTGCTTCAGTTCTGCTTTTTGCATGGTCTGTTTGGTTATCTACTTTATAGTTAGGTCTAGATGGCATCAATAGATTCTACAACTCCTTTTTTTCTCACTGCACCGTTTCTTTGAAGTTGGAATTTTGAACTAAATTCGAATGGTTCATACTCCAAATTGTCTGTTTTATTCAGTGTTTCAGATTTCGGAATGGTTTCACTGAGTGTTTCTATTCGCAAATCATAAGATGGATCTGGAATGACTGTCTCACGTACATTCTTATTTCTTAAATGTTTATCATTTTCCTGAGGAACTTTTATTCTAATGTCATAGACAGGTTCTGGTATATAGAAGTACTATTGTCCTCTTCGATTTTTTTAGGTAGCATACTAACAGAGAGAAAGCCACAACTATTAACAATACAGAAATTAATGCCGAAATGCCTATTGATACAGCTATTTTAATATTTGTGACCATTTTTTCATCAGCCATGGTTGTATATACAACTTAGTCACAATTAGATGTTCTTTATACAGCTTCAATATTATATACTCATATACAGTTATTCTTCAGCTCAATGCACATGCTATTTTATGATAAAAGTTAATAATTATTCTACTAAATTGCTCTATTGATAACACTCTGCTTTGTAAAGTTTTATACCACCCACATCTTTGTTATCTTGGAAACATAATTAAAATATCTCAATTTTGTTAATATTAATATATACAGGGTGAGTTAAAAACGCCACACTATAACTTTTACATTTTCCAACCTACATACACCTTTTGCAGTTAACAAGTGCCAGAAGTCCTAAGCAATAAAATAATGTAACAAGTCCTTCAACTTGGATTGTATTTGATCTAAAAGAGGAGTTCAATTGGTCCGCCATCCTCTTTGGTGTCAGCTTTTAGTCTTAGTCACCTTGCTGATATAGCAGTATCAATGCAATGTTGACTAAGTTTATTTCAACCTGTCTTTATTGCCAGCTTTAGTTAAATTTTTGAGATTTTTGCATCAGGACTACTAGCTCGGTGGTCATTAGGCCATATCAGTTCAGGTACATTATGCAAATTCTGTTCATTTCTCATGGTACATCACATTTAAGTGAGATGCTGGTGACATATTTCAAGAAAAAGTTATAGCATTTTGAAAAAAGTGGCATTTTTTTGGCCTACCCTGTATATATATTGGAATGGCATATTAAGTAGGCTGTTTTCGTATTTTTACTGAAATAATTTTTACTTCCTCGTATTACTAATCATGAACTTCTGAAATATGTCAAATTGGGAAATATGTCAAATTGTTTTTTTGAAATATCACGAACAGATTATAAAGTATTCTAATAGTTCTATATCCAGCGCTAATTAGTCCCTTGCTTGAGAGTTTCATTTAACATGAAAGGTTACTATGACTACTTGGAGAGATAACACTTGACTGGAGTATGACAACTTTTCAAAAAGTGCCTAAATCTCCAGTCAGTGTAACGAAAAGGTTTTATCACGCCACTAGGATGGTTTTTCCAAAGCCATTTAGTTTTTGTCTTAGATCGTCCTCCACCCTGTAAAAAAATTGAATGTACAAAGAAACGAAAATATATAATTAGGCCAATCACAGCCTCTTATCAGTTTCCTTCTAGGAGGATTCTGTGCAAGGCAGAGAAGGTCAGAGTATCATAATAAACTAGGCCAATAACCCAGATGCGAGTAGAAATAATCTTGATTTATGTCATTAAAAATTCAAAATTCAGTCAAAGTAATATCATATTTGAAATCTACATGTAAAATTACATCTACAAATGTGGTTTTAAAAAGTGTCTATCAACTTTGAAAAATTAATTTTCTTTGAAAATGTGACTTCTAGCTCGGGGAGATTCCCTATAGACCCTATGCTATAAAATCACAAAAAATGAAATATCTTTTCTTTAAGTAGACAGATAATATTTTGCTTTACTGGACATATTTTCATTAGTATAAGAATCAGACACATAAGAGTTACATGAAAATTGAGCCACTTAAATTGATAATATTCAAGTTTAAGGGAACTTCCTTATATACCTGCCATGTTAATTGACCCAAATCCACCTGGTGGTGAAACTGGTAACTACCTACTCGCATTTGGGTAATTGCCTAAGAAGATAGGACCAAATTATATTAAATCATACCAAAGTGCTTTAGTTTCACCTCTTAGGTATTATTTCAGACAAATACATGTTGGACACATCAGTGGACAAGATTTTTCAAATACAAGTTATTTGTACATTAAATCAAGAGAAAATTTTCGTGCCAGTTTGGTAGTTTATTTTATGCTTTATTTGCATTATTTTTTATTTCAGTCGACATTCCAGCGGAGGAAGGAAGCATCGTAGGAGAACTAGACAAAGGCGTGTCACACCACCAGGGGTCTCTGCTGATGCAGTTGTCACAGCAACTGGGGGTAAACATATGGCATCTGACCACAATGACACAAGTGATGGTGCAGTACACTGCTTCCAAGATGAACATGGTACTAATAAAATTAAAATCATATAATGTACACCCTTGCTCAAATTTTCTTCAATATTTTGAAACAATCATTGTAGTTGCCTCAGTTCGAAATAACTGATTCTGATTTGTCAAGAGTGGCCTCAGATTACAACTTCCGGATATGCCCTTTTATGGGTATCAAGTGCCAACACTGTTAATGTAATAATAAATGAATATGATAATAAATAAATAAAAATAAATAAAAAATTTAACAGTCAGCCTCAAGAAGGATACTGAAATAGTTCTTGTTAATCACATTAAAGGCAGAATCAGAACTTTAGGTGGTAACAAAATTACAAGCAACATGTTCAGTTGACTTACCAATATATTCTGTACCATTTCATTAAAGTAAAAATCTTTCTCAAATAAAGTATGCACTATGGAATTAAGAAAATAGACTCAGCAAGGAATGATATAAGCCCAAAATATTCTATTATTGAGACAATCTTTTGTTAAGGTAACTCGCAAGATCTGATACTCCCTTTAAGTTTATAAAATTATTTTGATTTGATATTTTCTTTGATTATAGGCAACTGGCTTACATATTCATTTGGGGAGACCAGTACAGGAACTGCCATTGGCGTCATTGAAAAACCTGCTGCAGAAAAACTTAAGGAAATTGACTCTGAGGAGAAGTGGTATGTCCAAGATTTAGTAGGAAATTAATGGATTGATTCGTTACATAAAATTCATACTAAGAGTATCATTTCTATTAACATGTTACATTTACAAATAATATTTTTTCCCCAGTATTTATTGCATACATTTTAAATAAGTAGAGTTAACGTAATGTAATGATATCAATCAAACCGATACATTACAAACACATTCACAAAAAAATTATAAAAGTAAAACTGGAAATAAGTACATGTAGTAAAATAAAAAATAGTACATACGAGAAAAAGTGTACAATTTTTGTTTTTAAGTGAAAATGGCTTACACATACCAACCATTGTAGAAAAGTTAAATATATTTTGTGAAAATTTTGTTTTGGTTTTAGAAATGATATAAGAAAACGGAATGTCCATTATGTTATTGAGAAAATGCTGTGATTTTCTGATCAAAACAAAGGACCATCCCCAATGCTGTTATGAATAAATAAATTATTAAGTCATTAATATCACTTTATATTATATTCCAGGGGTGTCTCCTCAACTGGCTCAGACTCTACTGTGATATTAGACTCCCCGAAGCCCCCTAGGAGGAGAGAAACCAACCCAACATCGGACATTGTCCTCGACTTGGACCTCCGGCCTCGTCTACTCCCATTTAACATAGAACACCTATTGGAACGTGCTAATTTACAAACATTAGACCCTGCTACAGATTCTGATATTAGCGATGCTCAGGACACAACTGTTGTTGATGATAAACCAAAGCATTATTACAAGTTTTACTGTATACCGTCAAGTTTTTTAAAAGTCTGGTTTGATAGACTGGGATTGTTAGCTTTGTTAGACAGGTGAGTTTTCTGGTTTTTTGAAATCCATAAAATTACCTTAGAAAGGGATGTTTCAAAGGGTGGGGGGATCTTGAAGTCTAGTTTATGGTTTAAATGCCATTGGGCAACAGCCACACCCAATATATTTTAATCTCAATGTGTAGTATAACCCCCCTGGGGACTTCATGTCTCCCTAGGCAAATCCTACAGAAAGGCCACTTTCTACATATCTACTTGTAAAATCTTAACATATTATGGAATTCATGTATCCTTAGTTTATGAAAATACAAAATGTAATCCTTAGTTCAGGGCTGATGTGAAAAAGTCAGTCTACTCTAGTGGGGATCGAACCCACGATCCATCGTTTTCCAGGTGGTCCACCACTGATCTATAGGACAGGTTGACATCATCCACATCATCATTGCATATTTCAGCCATGTCTAACATTCCCAGTTTTATACATGAAGTTTCGAAACCTCACATAAGTAGATAAACCTCCAGTTCAACATCTACCATCCAATTATAATGCACATGTTTCTTATTGTGTTTCAGGAACATCTCACTCAGTGAGAATTTGGTCGCCATTCTCTTAGCCATACTAGTGGGGGTCTTAGGCAGTCTTCTCCTCACTCAGGGATTCTTTACAGACTTCTGGATATTTCTCTTCTGCTTTGTAATGGCCAGTTCTCAGTATTCATTATTAAAAGTAAGATGATCTTCCACTTATGATTCATCCATAATCCTCTTTGAATTCATATAATGTTCAGTTTTAAGCATTCTGGTTTACCAAACCCCCTCTTATCTGCCGTTTGCGAGTTGGAAAGTTAAAGACAGACAAAGGGGTGTGGTTATCGCAATGAGTTTACAGTTATTTTTTCATTTTTGTGCTTTTTGTAACCTTTTATTATAGATCTTACCAATAAAACATGCCATCTTTTGGTAAATCAAAGAAGTTAGGATATATTGGCTACATTGGCGATGTCATCGCTGAGTAGGTAGCAATGAGTCCATGATAGATTCACTTATTGCTAATTTTGAAAAGGTACGACAAATGACATCATCAATCCAACCAATATATCATAGCTTCCTTGATTACAAAAAGGTGGTTAGGTTTATTGAAAAGGTCTATTCTCCTCAAATTTCAATATTTGTTTTTCCAGAGTGTCCAGCCAGATGCTTCCTCACCCACTCATGTAAGTATGGATAACATCTTGATCAAACCAGGCCACTGTGACATTTACTATCTTAAGCAAAGTGGACCTGACATATTATGCTATTGTTGTTACTTTATTAAAGGCAGAATAAGACCTAGCAAACAATATTTCCAAAAAATCAATCAAAGAATATTTTTGCCTCATTTCATTCCTTATCAAATCTATTTTCTAAAAAGTTCATACTTTATTCCAGAAAAACTAATGATGTTTGCATTTATATGTGTTTTAATTTTTAAGTTAAATTAAAGTTAATATGGTTATCCACTTTGTATAAAGTGTAAACATACTATTTGGACATCCTGTACAATTTTAACACTTCCAAACTGAAACATATGCATTCTCATTACAGGGATTCAACCGAGTGATCGCATTCAGCCGTCCAGTATATTTCTGTCTCTGCTGCTCTCTAATACTGCTGCTGGAGCATGCGTGCAACAATTGGTACCACACCACAGTTACAGTCTATGGCCTAGAATTTACAAGCCTTGGTTCATTGACATTCGCTAGGGATATGTTATTAGGTAAATTAGGTTTGGGTTCTCTCAAAACGTAAACATTGACATGTTAGTTGGATCCCTCCCTGTAAAAATGCAATTTTTATATATTAATTAATAAAAAATGAAAAGTCCTTTTATTATAAATTGCTGTATCCTAACAAACTTGTTAACTTAACTTTCCTCCTACACTAATTGTAATCATATATGTAGGTGAATATCCATATATTGCCCTTGTCTTTAAGAAACATGATTTCCAAGGCATTGACTAAGCTAAGCAACTGAAAATTTGCGTGTATATCACTGGTAAAAATCCAATTATTTGTTGTCCGAAGTACTGACTTGTTTTTATTAGATATTGCGTTTAATAAACATTTTCAACAATACAAATGATATAACTTCTAACTTTATTTTATTTCAGTGTTTGTCCTTTGTTTCCCTTTGATCTTCACATTAGGTCTACTGCCCCAAGTGAACACATTCACAATGTACGTCTTTGAGCAAATAGAAATGCACTTCTTCGGTGGAAATGGTATGTATTCAATACTAAAAGCATTTGTTGTAAGGAATAATTGTCTTGAAAAACACACAGTTAGAGACCTTTCAAAAGTGAACACCAAAAAACAAGTATTTTACTTTTTGGATGTATTAGGACTTTTAGCTAGTCATTTAAAGTGCTACTTAGCAGGTTTATAATTATATTGTTGAAGCAAAGTAAATAGTACCATGTATTATTAAATGAATTAGATGAGCTGTATTAAACCACATTTAGATTTAACTCTATTTATCTTTGTTCTTTTAGCTACCACCAGTCTTGGTGCTTCAATCTTTACTGTGTTCAGAAGTGTATTTGGTGTGGCATTCCTTTATGGGTTCTGCTATGCAGGTCTCAGGGTAAGCCATACCTTTAATTCAGTAATATGTTGGGTTGCTTGTAGAGTTGTGATTTACATGTTAGAAAATGTGTTTTACATAGGGAGGTGAAGCTACTATACATGTTTTTTTATTCATTGGTGTTCGGCATTTGGTGTTTGGCATCTGCAACAAATGGCAGGTGATAACATTTTGCATGTTATACCGTTGTTAAGAAAACTAATGTATGTTAACATGTAGAATAATGATCCTCTAGGGATTTAAGTCCTCCCCTTTGTATAGTATTTACATGCCTGATTGAGTATAAAGGTATGAGAAAGTTAGGTCCCTGACAAAATCAATAGAGAGGGGGACAGGTATCCCTGGGGGTCATGATATTACACAATAGTAAACAAGTTCTCTTAAAAACTATAAATGTATTGATATTTGTGATGAGTAATACCTCATTTTGAAATATCATAAAATTGTGTGGATATTGCTGTTTTTAATTATGCACATGTGCTGTATTTCACAGGAGGAGGACACATCCCAGCATGTTCTGTTCTCTGTATTTGCTGGACTGCTGGTCTCAGTGACATACCACCTCAGTCGCAATCCATCAGATTATACTGTTCTTTGGTAAGCACATTTAGACGGAATAAAGATCAATAAATGCAATCTTCTATTTCAAGTGTATATCTAGATGGAAATGTAAACAACAAAAGCATGTCCTGATGAAAAATGTGATTTATCTTAATATCAAAACTGTAGATGCAATTTAATTATACCACTGTTTGTATCATTGAATATTTTATATACCCAAGGAAATTCAAGAAGATTCCACAAAAAAGTGTTTTTTTCCAAAATTACAGCCTTAGGGAGCTGCATATTTTGGGATAACCCTGTATTATTATACAGAATAATCATTATCCAATGAGTTTATATGTTCAGTATTTATTTCAGAACTGTTTGCTATATTCACCATTTTTGTAACCAACATTTTGTCTTTGTAACAATTGTTACACCTGTTGTTACACATTATCAGCATCTTCAGATTTTAGGCAATATTGGTTACCATGGTAACAAATTACAATTACAGTACAACTGTTATTCCACAAACATTCTGTTAAACCAATGGAATAATATGGAGTACATGTTTATTAAAGGGCCTTACTGAAGGATACCATCATCACCAAGGCAGAAGAGGAGGTAGAAGGGGAGGAAGGAGTGCCCCAGGAACTAAAGGACCCTCTACCTGAGAAACTAAAAGCTTCAGTGGTAAGATAATAAGAACCAAATTGTGAATGTATAAATGACTTTTCAATATTGTAAAAAGATACTATGCATTAAGTCACCCACAGTTCATTGTGTCGTGTGCTTAAATTCTTTTCACACATTTTAACAATATTATTAAAAAGATATGTTCCTTATTACACCTGTGTTTCTTTTGGCTGTTCTATTGGTGTGATTACACCATAACTCTTGGAATTTCGTTTTTGTTTCTTAATTTGTGTTTACTTATGACATGAAATACAATATTACTGAATGGCCACTCTGACATTGAAACTTTCTCATATGATTTGGTTTAGCACACATTGCAACTAGAATTGCATGTTTAGAATGTGTTATCATTTTGTGGTGATCTCTTGTCATGTTGTCGTATTGTCAATGTGGGCACCATATGTGTGGTTTATTTACAGAGCTAAATTGTTAAAATGCAGCATTAGAGACTACTTTGGCTTGCTTATTAAAAAATGTTTGTCCATGATATGAATTACTCATCACTCTTCCAAGTCTTCTGCAAGTTGTTTGTACTTTTTGATTAAATACATAAATATTTTCTCTATATTCTCACGCGGTGCCAACGATGACCGTTAATTTGAATTTTAGACCTACCGGATGTTTGAAAATCAAGGATTGTGAGTCTCAGGTTCCACCGTTTTTCTTCAAACTAGTACCATTCAAAGCAAAACAAAAATGGCTTTCTGTCGGTGCATTGCTTTATCTTACAGAGCCCTTGTTTAAGCGATCTTTGGGTCTGCAGCTGTGAGAAGTGCTTCTCACACCTGGGGACCCAAAACGCCTCTAAAAAGAGTAGTTGATGGGGGTGGAAGTTATTATAAAAAATAGGTTCACACTGCATTAAACCTGACATACATGTATTTTGTATAATGTATTTACAGTATGATCGCCTCAAATCTGACCTGATTGTATGCTGCTGTGTCGCTGTTTTGGTCTTTGCTGTTCACGTCAGCACAGCATTTAGTAGCCCCAACCTACAGGTAGGCACATGCAACACATATTCAACCATAATTAAAAGAATTACATGTACAGGTGTACAATAAAGTTGGAGTTAAAATATCAAAGTTACATTTGGCACACATATAGAGCCATCATTTGAAAAATTATATTAAGTGTTTTTGGTGTAAGTAGCCCAGTTCAACATAACATATAAGTCATACGACTTTGTGGACATAAGAATGACATTGTTGGAGCAAACATAACTCTTCCGTTTTGTTACTTTCCCCCCATTTTCTGGAAGCATTCAACACAAATAATATTTCATGATATTAGCTAGTTAAATGGGCAATTTTGTCCATTTTGGCTAAGTTTGACTTAACTACATGTATTTATCATGAACACAAGAAATTTATTGACAATATTGTTGCCATGGCAATGAGTTCTGATAATTGCCTTGACAACATGCATTTGATTGTATGTCTCTTTCATGAAGTTGTTCACATATTGTTGTTATAAAGTCCAATGTTTGTCATCAACGTATCAGCGTCTGTAACAATTTCATTTTTAATCGAAACCATCTGGTGGCATTTTGTCATGTTAATGCCTCGTATATATACATATCCATGTGTATGACTGGATCTGGTTTATTAACATGTGAAAATACATTTTTCAAACATTGATGTTTTCAACATCCAAATACATAGATATATTGTTTTCCTTCAATTGTGTCATGAACTCAGAATAATTTGGTATTTTCTGTTCTAGTGAATGCGGATTCTGCTTAAATGTTAACGGTTCAAAATATTCAGATTCAAATCCTAAAAACTTGAATAATTTAGGTATCGTCTCGTGTCCATTTTCAGTTATATCAGTATAGGTTACAACAGTTTTCAAATGGTTTGTGTAATTGTGGAACACTTTCAATGGTTTTTTCCAAGTTACCTTCATCAGGTTCCGCCAGTGTTCAAATTCCTTATACGACAGAGAAATATTTTGAGTAGGTGGGGGCTTCATTTTTGGTCCATTGAATGGAACTGTTTTTGGACTTTCCGATTTGAATGTATTCCATATTCTAGAATGTTGACTACTTTTCAATGACACAAATGAGTCTAGGATATTCCTCCTGTATAGCAGAACTATCTTTGGTTGCTTCAATGTCTTTATGACATCATACAGAGATATGTTGGCGTCACTCAAATGTTCGGTGAAGATTTTGGCACCATGCATTTGATAACAATCTAGCTTGTTCACACTTTTATGCAGATGTTGCATTATACTATCTATGGGGTCTCCAAACAGACCCCTTGGTTTCAGCTCCTTTTTATGAAGAGGCTCATCTATGCAGCTAATATTCGGGTGCTGACATATAATATTATGAAGCATTGTGGAGCCAGATCGTGGGATCGTCAGCATGATGTAATGCTTTTTTTCTCCAACTTTGCATCCGCATTTGCCGCACCCTGTCAGCCTCATGAGTGGATGGTCGTCATCCAGTTGAATAGTCCATCTGGGCATTGTAAGCTCAATGAACAGGACGTATGAAACAGTTGCCAATAGACACCCACTTAGTATCAAAACTAATCCTGAAAGAAATCAACATCAACATGGAGAGAGCACAACTGGCAACATTTGAGGAATAAAATAAATCCATATAAGACAATTGATTTTTTTAAATTATTTGTATGGAACGTTTCTTATATGGTCCATACATTTAGAAATCCTAAAAATCTAAATACAGAATATGTTTGCACCTTTCTATATACGAGTATAGGAAAATCATATATATATTTTTTAATATTTTGATCAATTTTTAACATAGAAGTACATCATGTATGTTATAATTCACAAAATTGAATCACCAAATCTTTATCAAAGAACAAATATTTGACAGAATACTGTTATTGTATTTTGCTAGAATATTTCACGTCATGTCTATTTGTAAGTTTGGATATATTGATTAATCATTTTTATATTATTTCCCATGTCTTAAAAATTGTTTGAGACATTTAAAAAAAAATCTTACTTTTAAAAAAAGTTGTTGGTTTTTATTTTACATGAGAACATTTTAAACAATTTCAGTAAAAAAATTCTAGTAAATACTTACCTTTATTTAATGTTGAGTTCATTTTGCTTCTATTAACTTGATTCAATTAACTATGAGTGTGTTAATGAAACTAGTGAAGTATTGTCTCCACAGATCTCAGATTATTATGAAAGGCTAAATCAAGTAAATGAAATGTTTCACATATACTCTTTAACTTATTATGTGGTAACATATTGTTGTAGCAACCATTTTTGTGACCAACATTTGGTGTCAATTTCTGTTGACAATTGTTACACTTTTCCAGGTGATTTTTAGTCCAGCTTTTTGTGTGTGTGAATGTGTGTAAGTCAGATTGTAAGATACTGTAGCCCAAATTTTCGCTGACAAAATTTTTTACTATTTTCTCAATCTAGAATGTTTCAAGGGCATTAAATTTCACTGTTTGAAGATATATCCAAATGAATTCAATGTTAAATCAAATATTAACTGTGCCTTTAATTTCATGATCTAGCCTCTTCAGCGAAAATTGTGAAAGGGCAACTTGAACGTTTGGACTTTTACAGGAACCCATTTCGGGGTTGTGGTCTAGAGCACTAAACATGCTAATCTAGGTGCTGTCGCCAAAACCTTGAGGTTGTGAGTTATACACAATACACATTGCATTTATTCATTCATTTTTGGGAAATTAACTGTGATTTCATATATTTCAGCCCACTCTGATGGATGTGCTAGCTTATATTGGAGGTGGGTTTGGTATCATTATACACTACTTCATACCCCAGTTGAGGAAAGAGATGCCATGGCTGTGCTTTTCACATCCTGTACTACAAAGCCACGAAAGGTCACAGTTTGAAGTCAGAGGTAGGTACAATTTCAGAATTGTTGGCACACTACTGGGTATGCGTGTGTGTGTCTGCCTGTCTGGGAGGACGCCATGTAAATCTTGTCATCAAAATTCAAGGAAAACTGTTTAGCCGTTCAACTTGAAATTTTTACAAATGCAAGGGTAGATTTAAGTACCATGATCTGATAATAGACATGCTGGGTAAATTACATGGCGGCCATTTCTCTTTTCAAAGTGCTGTTGTTACGCTGTTGTTCTTTATTACATCATCAATGAATTGAGATGAATCCTATAACTGATTTATAGTTCAGTCAGAATGAGCCTAAATGCGTGCGTTCAGAGGGATTTTACGGGACATAATTTTTCATGTTGCTAGTATGATTTCACATATTTGTATGAATTATTAGATCCTAGTTTTTCAGCTTTTAGATTTTGTGGCCATTTTAACCCCCATGGGCTATAATTTGGACCCCTACTATAAAATTAGGCAAGAACTCAAAAAATACTCTACCATTGTAGATGCTGCAAAAATCATGTGGTTTGAAAGACTCTATGTAGGGCTTAGATTTGTGGAACGTAATGTTATCTACCCTACTGTATTCCTCAGTGCACTAACTGTTTCTACACCAAAGATAAAGGACAAGTTTGGACTCTAGTAAGTACAATACTTATTTGGTTCAATTTATTTAATCATCGTGTGCATACTATTTCCAATTCAAATTCATTCATTTATAATCTGCAACAAAATTACATGAAATATGCTTTAAAAATTGTTCATCAACTTTGAAAATATTTTCTTTGAAAATGTGAGTTCTAGGTCAAGTAGATTCCTCATAGAGCCAATGTTATAAAATCATGAAAAATAGATCATATTTTCCTGTTTTAATGAGGGCAAATCAATGTAAAACCACAACGTGTTTCAAACCTCAATACAATATGCCATTAGATGGAGTCAAGTCGTAACTAATCATTCATATTGTTAGCACTATGTACCACATGAAGTGGTGACATATTGTTATAATTTCCAACTTTTGTGGACAGGGTTCAGCATTTGGTGTCTGTAACAAATGGCAGGTGGTGACATTTTGCATGTTAATGCTTTGTTTTTTTTATTGCAGTGGAGGTACAGCAGTTATTGTGGTTTGCAGCCTCAAAGTGTTCAGAAATGCATTCTCCGACACTCCTAAACAGCATTTAATCCTAATGTTCACTTTCCTGTTCTTCAAATACGACTACAGACATTCTTCTGAGACTCTCCTCATCGATTACTTCATCTTTTCCATTATATTTTCCAAGGTAAGATAAGATTGCTGTATAGGGCAATTAACATGGTGAGACAATGGAATCACAAACTTGTCTGTCTATCTGTCCTTCCTATTTTTATAAAGTGACCACCAAAATGAGATGAAAAATACTCCTGCCAAATTTTTTCAAATGTATTCAGCTATACAGAACATTATCCTAGATTCTACTGTAATTTGTGCTTCTAAATTTTGTAAGGATATTCACAATATATCAATATTTGATTCTACTTTGTTATACTACCGAAGAGTCTTAAAATTGCAGATGTAAGGAGTTTTATTAAGTCTGTATCAGTTTTAACTCCAATTTGTGGGTAAAGAGGGAGTATACATCACATAATCGATAAAGAATCCTTAAAACATTTTAAGTTCTAAGTTTTTGAAGAAAATCAACAAATGTTTAGTGAGATAAATAAAATGTGATCTCAAATAAATACAAAGGCCAATTTGTGCAATGTATTTGGTGCTATTATTCTCAAAAATGATGAGTGAAAAATTGTGAGTCATCCCATTATAAGATTGAATGTTTTATTTCAGTTCTATGACTTCCTACTGAAGGTTCGATTCATCATAACCTACATCTCACCCTGGCAGATCACATGGGGCTCAGCTTTCCATGCCTTCGCTCAGCCGTTCAGTGTGCCTCGTATCCTTACATAAAATCAAGAAACTACGAGGGTTGATCATAAAGTTTTCATAATAATAAATTTCTGATTTCTTTATTTTTCAGTGTGCTATTAAGTAATTTTTGCTGGATTAACATTCCAAGCTGCACATTCTGTAAAAAATTCAGAGGAATATTATGAAAAATAAAGAAATGAGAGAGATATTATGATAAGAACTTGATCAACCCTCGTATCGACCCTTTGTATATATGCCTCGTCTTACCCAGTAAGTGATTCAAATGAACTCAGGATACATTATTTTTGCTATTTAATGTACAACCTTCATAGTCTTATAGCAATCACTCTCCAAATTCTGCAACTTTTCTACTCTGAACTCCCTTTGCCATCTGCAGTCAAAGCACAATTTCTAAAGACAGTTACTCCCCATTTTGATTGAAGTGTATGGAATATAACTATTTCATTGGGGTTTCTTCCAATATCATGAAGAGCTTCTATTCTGACGAAGATTTGATACCACAAGGGAATACATTTTTGATAATTTTAGATTTAGTTTTAATGACCGAGTCATTCGTAGAAGTTTGACATTAAAGCATTGAGTTGTTTGTCTTTAAGGCAAATGTAAATGTAAATTCTCCCAAATGATAAATGTGGATATCCAATTATCCCCGTTTAGAGTAACAGACACGTAAAAGTAATAATCTTAAGATTATATGTACTACTTAGTTCTTTATTTAGAAAATACACTGGCAAGGAATGGTTTGAATCCAAAATATTCAAGAACTGAAAAATAACTGGAAAGGTTGTTCACTTGATCTCGCTAGATCCTTTTTTCAATTCAAAATAGATTCGGATGTTCACTATACATTTATGTATACAGTTATGTAAATTATTAGACTCCAGATTGAAAATCTGGAGTCTATTGTTTTTGCCTGTTTTCTTCTTATTAGAATGCCGGTTTCGAAGAAACGGCATTCTATAGTTTTCGCCTTTTTCTTATTTTTATTATTATTATTATTATTATTCCACGCAAGATTTCTCCGCACACACCGACATGTCAGCTAATTAGCATATACCATCAACCTTGACATGTTCCTGGGCTACAGGGAAATGCCTTCATTTTTTTAATTAGCCCCTCCCTAATTAGCCAAGGTCAAATCGCAAATTTTTACATTTTTGCACGTACAAGGAGTAACCATTTTTATTTTTTACCCAAAATTTGCATATGCCATCCCTCACAATTGCCATTGCACATATATTCCGGGTTTTAAAATTGGGTGCCCCAAATTTGAAAAATGGGGCACCCCAGTGGGGCAAAATTTGAAAACTGTGTATCCGATCCCAATTCTGAGCAGATATAAAGAATAGAAGCCCCTGATTCCAAATATGCTTTCGGTTTTGGAATCCGACCTCTGAGTGACCTTGAAAAGGTCAACAAGTTCAAAAATCAAAATCGCTCAAATTGATTCCAAATTGGTACCATTGTATTACACTGTACTCGGATAGAGTAAATTAGGTCACCATTTTGACCTTGACCTTTGACATTGACCTTCAAATGACCTCAAAGTTGAAAACTAGGATTTTCATTCTAATTCTTTGCAAGTATGAAGTATGGATGTCCCTGATTCTAAATATGCTTGTGGTTTTGGAATTTGACCTCCGGGTGACCTTGAAAAGGTCAAAAAGGTTAAATTGCTAAAATTGCTCAAATTGATTCGAAATTGGTACCATTGTATTACACTGTACTAAACTAGAGTAAATTAGGTCAACATTTTGACCTTGACCTTTGACCTTCACCGTAAAATGACGTTAAACTTATTTCTTGTTTTACCTGTTCAAGGAGCCACTGTAGTTATTTTTTGCATGCCTTACTCTTCCCATTTAACATATCTCTAGGGTTTATAATTTGGGTGATTTTCATTCCAATTCTTTGCAAGTATGAAGTATGGATGTCCCTGATTCTAAATATGCTTGTGGTTTTGGAATTCGACCTCTGCGTGACCTTGAAAAAGGTCAATTGTGCACCGAATTTGCTGCTGCGGCGAGGAACGGCATTCTACGAAATCGCCCCCGTGGCGATTTTAAATGTCTAGTTATTAGACTCCAGATTGAAAATCTGGAGTCTATTGTTTTTGCCTGTTTTCTTTTTATTATTCTTTTTCTTTTTTCTTCTTCCTCCTAACAGATTTTCTCTCCAACTATAACATCTTACTTAATCCAACTTACATGGTTAACTAAAGACTGTATCCGGCTTTCTGGGAAATTAGGTCAAATTTTTATCTAGGTCAAAGGTCAAGAACTAGGTCAAATCTTACATTTTCAACATTCTTCATCATATCTTCGTCAATATTCTTCGTAACTCCTTCATCTTTTTTTCATCGTGTAGCTTAGAAAAAGGCGAATCAAAGATATGACATCTGAATTTTGATTACTCTTACCGATTTTGAGATATGGCGTCCGGAAAGTAGGTCAGAACAAAAATGTCTCCAAATTCAACATGTGAGTTATGAAATAAGTGTAGAATGATCTCAGGAATCCGAATCTGCAAACCAAATTTAGATCGGATTTCCGGTTCGGAAGTTATGGCGTTTTGAAAGCTCAAAAATCGCTAAATTTGGTGCCTATGTTAAGTCAATGGGAAAAAAGACTTTTTCGAAGTGAAAAATACAGGATATTGACTGAGTACAGCTTAACATAATGAATGCTTATAAAAGAAGGGGACCTCAAAAGCTACATAGCTTCAAAATTTGGACACCAAAATGCCTAGGTCAAAATCAAGGTCAAATTCATAGTTTTTCCTTATTTTTACGATTCTGACACTACACTTTAATAATTTACTTCAAAATTTTGTATACAGGTAGCAAAGAGTGTGCTAATAGTGTTAGCCTTTTGCCGTCAGAAAGTATTTTGACCCACTTTTGAGATATGGTGTCCGAAAAGTAGGTCAAAATAAAAAGTTCTCCAGATTCAACGTATGAGTTATGAATTAAGATTAGAATTTTCTCAGGAATCCGAATCTGCAAACCAAATTTCGATCCGACTACCGGTTCGGAAGTTATGGCGTGTCCAAAAAGTAGGTCAAAATAAAAAAAATCCAAATTTAACGTATGAGTTATGAATTAGGGGTAGAATTTTGTCAGGAATCCAAATCTGCAAACCAAATTACGATCCGACTTCCGGTTCGAAAGTTATGGGGTTTTGAAAGCTCAAAAATCGCTAAATTTGGTGCCCCATGTTATGTCAATGAGAAAAAGGATTTTTTGAAGTGTAAAATACCAGATAAAGACTGAGTACAGCTTAATATTCTGAAAGCCTATAAAAGGAGGGGACCTCGAAGGCTATCTAGCTTTAAAATTTGGACGCAAAAATGCCTTGGTCAAAATCTAGGTCAAATTCATAGTTTTTCCTTATTTTTGCGATTCTGACATTACACTTTAAGGATTTGCTTCAAAATTTTGTATACAGGTAGCAAAGAGTGTGCTTATAGTGTTTGCCTTCTGCCGTCAGAAAGTTTTTTGACCCACTTTTGAGATATGGTGTCCGAAATGTAGGTCAAAATAAAAAATTATCCAAATTTAACGTATGAGTTATGAATTAAGGGTAGAATTTTCTCAGGAATCAGAATCTTTAAACCAAATTTCGATCTAACTTCTGGTTAGATAGTTATAGCGGTTTGAAGTCTCGAAAAGTCGATATGATGATATCCCCATGTTAAGCTAATAGAGTCGAAGATAGCCTTCTTAAAAGTTGTCTAAATGTCTATCTTCTAGCTGACTCAGCTTATTCTGAATGACTCAGCTTACAAGTTCTGGATGACTCAGCTTAAAAAAAATGTGAAATCTGGAGTCTTAAATTGAACTTGTTCAATTTACATGTCTAGTTATTCATCTTTCTTTCTTTCTTCCTCCTAACAGATTTTCTCTCCAACTATAACATCTTACTTAATCCAACCTACATGGTTGACTAGGGAATGTATCTGGCTTTCTGGGAAATTAGGTCAAATTTTTATCTAGGTCATAGGTCAAGAACTAGGTCAAATCTTGGATTTTCACTAATTCACCACTTTTCTCAGTCGTCTTTCAATATTTTTGCTCCGGGTTTTTTTCATTATTTTTTTCATCATGTTCCTTGGAAAAAACGCTAATTCCGTAAGGCAAATCGTTTTTTGATTACTCTTACCAATTTTGAGATATTGCGTCCAAAAAGTAGGTCAGAACAAAAAGTTCTCCAAATTCAACATGTGAGTTATGAAATAAGTGTAGAATGATCTCAGGAATTCGAATCTGCAAACCAAATTTGGATCGGACTTCCAGTTCGGAAGTTATGGCGTTTTGAAAGCTCAAAAATTGCTAAATTTGGTGCCTATGTTAAGTCAATGGGAAAAAAGACTTTTTTGAAGTGTAAAATACAAGATATAGACTGAGTACAGCTTAAAATAATGAATGCTTATAAAAGAAGGGGACCTCAAAAGCTACATAGCTTCAAAATTTGGACACCAAAATGCCTAGGTCAAAATCTAGGTCAAATTCATAGTTTTTTCCTTATTTTTACGATTCTGACACTACACTTTAATAATTTACTTCAAAATTTTGTATACAGGTAGCAAAGAGTGTGCTAATAGTGTTAGCCTTTTGCCGTCAGAAAGTATTTTGACCCACTTTTGAGATATGGTGTCCGAAAAGTAGGTCAAAATAAAAAGTTCTCCAAATTTAACATATGAGCTATGAATTAAGGGTTGAATTTTTCCCAGGAATCCGAATCTGCAAACCAAATTTCAATCCGACTTTCGGTTCGGAAGTTATGGCGTTTTATGATAGCTCAAAAATCGCTAAATTTGGTGCCCCATGTTATGTCAATGAGAAAAAAGATTTTTTTGAAGTGTAAAATACCAGATATAAACTGAGTACAGCTTAACATTCTGAAAGCCTATAAAAGAAGGGGACCTCGAAGGCTATCTAGCTTTAAAATTTGGACACCAAAATGCCTAGGTCAAAATCTAGGTCAAATTCATAGTTTTTCCTTATTTTTGCGATTCTGACATTACACTTTAATGATTTGCTTCGAAATTTTGTATACAGGTAGCAAAGAGTGTGCTAATAGTGTTAGCCTTCTGCCGTCAGAAAGTATTTTGACCCACTTTTGAGATATGGTGTCTGAAAAGTAGGTCAAAATAAAAAGTTCTCCAAATTTAACGAATGAGTTATGAATTAAGGGTAGAATTTTCTCAGGAATCAGAATCTTTAAACCAAATTTCGATCCAACTTCTGATTAGATAGTTATAGCGGTTTGAAGTCTCGAAAAGTCGATATGATGATATCCCCATGTTAAGCCAATGGAGTCGGAGATAACATTCTTAAGAGTTGTCTAAATGTCTATATTCTAGCTGACTCAGCTTATTCTGAATGACTCAGCTTACAAGTATTTGGATGACTCAGCTTAAAAAAAGTTTGAAATCTGGAGTCTTAAATTGAACTTGTTCAATTTACATGTCTAGTTATCATACTTATCTTTAAAGTTATGTGACAACAAATTTTTTTATTTTATTTACAATAATTTATTCACAAGTCCTTTAAAACAATTTTTTGAAGTTAAAAAGCTTCACATATCACATTTTAATAATGTTGGGTAAGACTGCAATATATTAAGCCATGCTATTTATTAATTTTTCTAAACTGTACATTGGACCTTTAACAAAACAAATCAGATAAGATTTTTATGGTTCAATGTATTTACACTATTTAATCATCAAAAATAAAGTGAGTTAAAACTAGAATTGATAGGATATATATATTTAACGTGATATTATGTATACAGTATCTGTTTTAGTGCGTGAGACATAAATAAATAAAAATACTACTACTACTACTACTATATCACACTTATATACAAAAGAGAGCAGAATAATATATAGGCCTTTCAGATTCAGATATTAATTACTATTTTGAAAAACAAACATGACATTCAATACAACATAAGCCTTCATAACATCTATGACATGGAGACTTATGAAATCCCATAATTTTCCAGTTGTCAGTTCCATTAAATGCATTCATTACACATTGAATATTTACAAAGCTGTCAAGTCGATAGTAGTTCACTGCACATGTTTATTAATTAATACATGCAATCCAACCAATAATTATGTCTGAATTTTACAATCACGCGACATAATGATTGGGCGAGAACCAATCAAGTCAATTGTTTATGCGAAGTTGAAAGATCTGCCTACTGAGTCCTTAAGCACATGGATGTACTTATATGGTATCTTTGTTACTTTGGTTGCAGCATGTCTTTTTCACAATTGCAGCTAAGAATAAGCCTATCTCTAAAAGTGTAAGGACCGATATCCCCATATAGAATCCAAAGAAACCACCAATAGATGACACCATCTCTGTAAATGTGAAACTCTTGACTTGTTCTGTAAGTGTGATCTCTAAATCCTTGAAGAAGATGTTAAGCTGCAGCATGTTCTTTTTCATGTGACGTTTCCAAACTACACTTGAGATGTTTAAGTGTTTCATTGAGTTGTAGACAGTGAGGTCATCGCGATCAGGACGATCGTTTATATAGTGATCATAAATCCCTTTCATGTACATTTCTTCTGGCCAGGCACTTGCAGATGTTGTGATTTCATATGTAGTGTCCATACAGGGTGGGAAACAAGCGCATGATGTCTTGTCATTTTCCGAGTAGAAATTCAAATTTATATTTTGCTGGCATCTCAGTGTTGCAAATAGTTGATCCAGTTCTGTTATATTAGGATGAGGAGACAGTGCATTTTCTATATCAAACCTACCACAATAGCTAAGATTTCCTGTCATTTTTAGTCCTGATTTATATGGTCTAGAGTCATGGGGCTCTCCCAATGATGTGCAGCCACATTTCTCTCGAGTTAGTGCCTGTTTGCAAATCCCCATGCACAATGTCTCAGAATGGGCATATCCTATGTCATCTATAAAGAATGGTTTGGTACAGTTACCATGGGGATATGTTAGATATTTGTTTACATGTGTCTTGATCCTGATACTTGTAGACTGCCCAGGCATTATCTGCACTCCTTTAGTAACAGGGTCAGGCTGAATCCCAGGGGGGTGAACCTGGACATATAAACCAGAACCCCCCTGTATCACAGATTCTGTGTCATAGATAACATTATCTAATCCTTCTTGATAAGTGTCCAAGAATACTAACATGCTAAGACCATGTGTCGGCCCTGATGTTGAAATCTTGATTTTTTCAGCAGATTGATTCCCATTTATAGTGACACATATACCAAATGAAGGATTCATAATGGGCTTAAAGAAGTCTTTATTATGAGGACATGCTTTAGAGTTAATTTTGCAACTAAGGATAATATCAGTCCAATTATGACTTTGCAGAGACCAATTTTCAAAGTTTACATTTGTCATGATACTCTCCGAACTTTGGAATCTTTCCTTGAATTCTTCAAAACCCGGAATGGATTTTAATGTATCATACTTCATTAGAAACTGAACATACTCTATAAAACTTTGTGAATTCACACTGTTTTTTAATTTTGCTTTGTAGGCAGACACAGGGCTTACATTGCAAAGTGTTACAGCCGGAAAGTCTTGTTTTGTGGTGTACTTTGATACAATTTCATTGGTAGGAAAGTTTAAATAAATGACAAAACTTGAAAATATTCCATACAGCATTCCTGTTCCCGATGCTATGATACATATGACCCAAAGCACATGTATAGCCCCATATTTTGAGGTTACTAAATATGCAAATCCATGAGCAGATGTATTGGATGCAAAGTCTTTAGCCAGTTCTTTCTTTGTCTTATTCTTACTCTTTAATTTATTTTTATCTTTTTCTGTGTTATTCATATGTTGTTTGTCAGTCATTTCAGTGTTCATACTTTCCATATCCTTTGCATGAATGATTGAGCTTCAAAGATTCTTGATTATTCATGAAAAATTGCTTCCACGAATCTGTCCAGTGTGTACGAGAGCTGTTCAATAAATACTGGTACAAACCCTTTTGATTCCATGTACCATGGTATATCGCGGAATCGAGGAGATATCTTTGGATTGAAGCCACTATATGTGTATTAATACTAAGTTAATATTATGAAGTTATTTATTGAAAGATCCTCATACCAGTTAAAGTGTATTTACAAACACTTAGTTGCTTGTTGCTGGTCTGAACACTTAGTTGCGTTTGAGTTAAATTAATTTTCCATTAATATGAATCTAGTTTTAATGTTTTAATGGATCACATTAACACTAAGTACTAAGTACAGTACATGATGTAATTGATCTGTTCATTTAAATAGATGAAACATGTAAACACATATTACATATAACCCCATTACCATCCAGTGCTAAAGATACCCACATGCTCTATTAAATTAATAGAATTCATCTAAAATCACATACAGTAATATAAGTTTGCTACTTTTTAATAATTGAGACTATTTGATTTGGAGTATTTTTCATATCTATTTATTCGAACGTATTATAGTTTGCTTCATTTTGGTTATTCCGTTATACATGTGATGACACAATTTCTTCGGGATCTCTTTTCTAATGAGTGAACTCTACCATTTTAAATTAACTCTTAAATGACCATCATTAGAGGTATTGTTCTTAAAATTGTGTGTATTCTACAGGTTCGGTGTATAAATAAATGACCTTCATTATGTAAGGTTATGTATTTGAAGTAGTGGCTTTTGGATTTAATGTTAGAAGCTGACTGAAGATGAAGCTTAACCACCTAGACACACAACAGAGTGGAAGCAGCGGCTGTGCCGTTGTCCTTCAGCAGGGAGTAACTCAGTGGGTTTCATAACAAAGTCTATAAGCTTGATAGCTAGATAGCTGGAGGAAGGCTAATTTAATAGCCATACTAGAACAGCCAGATTTTATTTAAAATGATTAAATCTTCCCTTATGGGTCTAAGTGTAACATCCCAAATGAATGCTGCTTTTTGTTGATTTTTCACATCAGTCAAAATAATGGGAGTCCAGTAAATCAGTGTTATATTTTTAAAGTGCTGTATTGTTATCTTGTATCTATATTGTCATCTTCTCATCTATATACACATATTCATCTCATGCTAACAATCTAGTGTGTCTGTGTTTGCATTTTGGGTGTGTTTTGGTGGATGCTACAAAAAGCTTGTCATCAGAATTCCAGGAAAACTGCTAATCGTTTCAACTTGAAATTTTCACAGATTTGAGAGCAGACATGACTTAATGATTTTCTTTTACCCATTTAGAGTGGATACTCATCTTTCATTCCATATAAAGAAAACATAAATTGATAGAATATTGTGATGGTAAGGAGTTCTAGAGCTGATTAAATTTTCGGTGGCAATCTTGCATTCTTACAGCCATCTTGGAAGTTTTTAGATAACTCTTGTCATCATGTTTCCAGGAAAATCACTTGACGGATTTACTTCAAATTTTCACACATGTTACATGGTTAGTAGTTTTTAGATAAACCTTTGAATTGTTTTGATAAATTTGCTTCAAATTTTCACACGTGTTACATGGTAAGAAGTTCTAGAGCTGATTAACTTTACGGCGGCAATCTTGCATTCTGGTGGCCATCTTGGAAGTTTTTAGATAAATCTTGTCATCATGATTCCAGGAAAACCACTTAGCAGATTCACTTCAAATTTTTATGACACATGTTACGTGATAAGAAGTTCTAGGACTGATTAACTTTTCGGTGGCAATTTTGCATTCTGGTGGCCATCTTGGAAGTTTTTAGATAAATCATGTCATCGTGATTCCAGGAAAACCACTTAACGGATTTGCTTCAAATTTTTATTACACATGTTACATGATAAGAAGTTCTAGAACTGATTAACTTTTCGGCAGCCATCTTGCTTTCTGGGTCATCAAGCCCACTCTGCTATGTTTTAGGTACGGGATTGTTCACCCTGTGCCTTGTATAATTGATTCCATAGAAGACATTGGTATTGTTTTTTTTTATTTTATAAATGAGGGTAATTCAGTATGTTAAGTAATATCCTTTTTTAGATGTGTTTTTTTGATTTTATAAATGGGGGTAATTCAGTAAGTTAAGTAATATCATTTTTTAATGACAGTTATGTTCCATTAGTAAGATTAATCCTTATACTAGTATACAGGCATGTTGACTTATGTTTGGTCACATAAGCTTATTTTTAGTAATTAGGGGAGCTCGGTAAATCCAGTTTATTGAAATCATCTTCATGAAGATAAAACAAGCCATCAAAAAGTTTACAATATGTAAACATTTAAAGGATGAAGCTAGCAATTAGTTCAAAGAGTTTTCTTATTAAAATAATCAATACATATTTACAAATACAGCTAGGGCTGAGGCAGTGCATTATTGGCCCTTTTAATTAAGTATTAATGTAAGTAAAAGATAAGCTAGTAATTAATCTTAGTCCCACCAGTTTAAATACCTCTGAATGGTCAAAAATAGTTGTCACATTTGGCCCTGTATACCAATGCACAATTCTGGAATAATTGAGCTGTGTTTTTTTATTCTACAACACATATTAGTCATTGCATTGAATCCAAGTATTAAGAACATTTTTTTTCAAATATCGAAACCTCTATATTCTAAATATGTACATGACGCATATGTTAGTTACAAGAAATATCTTCACCAATTAACAAATCTTTATTTTTTTGTCCTTGAACAGTCTGAATATTTGAAATGAAGAAGGGATGAAGGGAAGATGAAAATAACTTTTGAAAAATTAACAATTTCACAATATTCCGTACCCCTTGATTTAATATTCCAAAAAGGCAGTTTAAATGAATTTGGACTTCTGAACAGATATTATATGTAAAATTAGAGTTCACCTTTTGAAAAGATTTCTTCCAACATTTTACACTCCATCCCTTCTTCATTTTAGTTGTATTTACACTCAAGAACATTTTTATTACAGTTACAGAACTTCAAACACTACAAGTGAAAATATTTGAAGTTGAAATATGAAAAGTATTGAAGTAATGTCTAAACAATGTTACGCTACACTTCTACAGAGTGGGCCAAAAAATTGGAACATTTAATTATCATTTTACCATTATCTGAATTTTTGTGGACTGAACTGCAATAATAAAGAAAATTAAATGAATTTGAAAATGTTCCAATTTTTATTGGTCCACCCTGAATATATATAATCTTATTTGTTGTCAAAATCCAATCATGGAAATTTTTAACCACTTTGTTTTAAAGTGACGTTTAAAAACGTTCACGATTAACTTCCGGGCCATATACACTGTACTGTATATGCAGTTATTTTATGTTAACCAATGCCCAACTCACCTGTTCTTGTTGACAGAACAGATTTTCTAGAAGTACAAATTATTGTTTGATAAAAAGTGTGATCTAAAAATATTTTTCCCTTCCTCACAAAATGAAATTGCCTTTTACTACAAGTTTACTAAACAAAAGCGCAAATAAGCATAATTTACTTAAAGAGAGAATCAGATCTAGCGAGCAGGCCAACAAAAAATTCTTTCAATTTTAGAATATTTCTAGCTCATGTCATTCCTTCACATGTCTATTTTCTAAAAATCCACAAAGTTCACAGTTTATTTCAGGAAAACTAAAGATTTTTACAATAATGTATTATTTTTCTATAATAATGGTTACCTTTTTATTATTATTTGGGAGAATTTAAACATTTTTGACCCATTTTTCACTTTTAATCCATTATAACTTCACCAATTTATAACATATCATGAATCTTTCAGGAAATATTGTATTTGAGATTGTAATGAATGGATTGATAGGTCAGTTGTACATGTTGCTTGTAATTCTTTCCCCCTATAGATCTGATTCCGCCTTTAAACATGTTCATTATCAGGTTGGATTATTAAATCACTAAAACAATTTTTCTTCTTTACACAACCTTGAACAGGGATCAAGGGAACTATAAATTGGCGGGAATTTGGAATGAAATTTTGCGGAATTAATATGACGTGATATTGGTTTTTATTTAATTATTTTGTAGCGCTTAAGTTTAGTTTTGCTACAGTTGATAAAGGATCCAGGTGTGATCCGAAATGTTCTGTGTTTTCAAAATAAAGGCTGTGTAAGGAAGAAAAATTGTTTCAATGAAGCATAATTTAGTTTGTAACATTTGAGATGGTGCTCATTTAAGAGGGTTGCTCTTCAGATGTCTTACAACCAAAGGCTTCCTTTAGAGCACATTGGAAAGCATTGTAGCTGAACACATAGATAAATGGATTGACACAACAGTTGACATATGATGCAATAACACTTGGCTTATAGATGGGGCTCTCAAAGTTCGGCAATGCCCGAAGGCTGTACAATATGTAATATGTCCCATTTGTTATCCAGCAGAGGAAAAAACAAACGGAAACCAAAAGTAGGGTTCGAATAATGTTAATTTTTGCTTTTGACATCTGCGTGTCACGAAACGAGGATGTGTCCGTCATCTTGGCCTGTCTGTATATCTCCATGGCGATCCTAATGTAACAGCCAATGAAAATGCCAACAGGGATGAACACCATAACACAAACTGTCACCACGCCACACACATTCCGAAACAGCTCACTAGGATATCCAGCCCACGGTTTACATGTTATCCCATCCAAATAAGTCGTCCAGATATTTAAACTTGAAAATATGAGTCCACTTAGCCAGACTACTCCTATCGCAATTGAGACGTTCATACCTGTGAACTTCAGCTTGTATATGAAGGGGTGGATCACTGCGAAATAGCGTTCCAACGTCAGAGCCACGAGATTGAATGTTGATACAGTCATAGTGCTCCATAATGTATATTGTGAGAGCCAGAGCTTACAATACAGTTCAGCTACAATTCCAGGTTTCGTGATAAGTCCATAGTCATCAAAAAGGTGGTTGAGAATCAAGAACATTGATGCCAATGTATCGACTGTACTTTGGTTTATAATCAACATGTT